TTATCGGCGGTTGAGTATTCTTCAGCATGTTTACTTTTTATATCGTATTTAACAATGATTAAGTTGTGTACAAATACCGGTAAATGAAAATCGAGATAAATTACATCATTGCAAGAGAGAAAAAATAGTCCTCTGGGAGGACATGAGCTTACTGGCAATGAATAGTCTGTATGAAGAAAAGGGTAATGAATTGAGATTGGCCAGATTAATTTCTTTGCTATTTATGTCCATTCGTAATTTGTTTTGTTTGAGGTGATTTGGTCTTTTTATCTTACAGTAGTTCCCTAATTTTAGCAACGATTATAAAAGTTATCATCAGTTGTATTGCTAACAGAACTTCGTTTCCTCCAACTCAACCTGTGATCACAATCATGACTTAAAACTAGATGCCACTCACTAATTGCCATTATCAACCACTGCCGCTTATAAGCCCTGCCACTTATAAGACCCCCCCCCCCTCCCCCCAAAAGAAAAATACTCCTGGTTATAAGTGCCCCTGGATATAAGCCCCCTTCCAAATGTACTGAAGTGGATTCGATTTATCAGGGATCCATATTCGCAGTCGTCCAGTCGTCCCAGACGAATACAATCTTCAGCATGGACGATTGAAATAACTCCAACAGTCATCCTTTGGATGAGTGAGGTTTCGCTCAACCACAAAATCTTTCCAAAAATTCTTATATGATTTTATTGTGTACATTAATTTTTACCTGTGTTCAGATTACTTCTCATCCACTTAAAACTTTCAGCATAACAGAGAATAAAACAGAACTTTTGTATGGAATGAAATGGTAGATTTGCGCGCCATCTATGATGGTACAGTATTTTTCAAGAAAGGATCGCAGCCCCAGTTTTCATGTTGTTAACCGCTAGTACTTTTCATTTTGTGAAGAACTCCTTTCAAGGACCATTTGCAGAAAATGTGACAGCACTCATCAAGATTCGGCGTTTTTCAAAGGGCCTTTTGCCACCTTTGGCTGAAAAAATGAGCACAAGCTGCTGCCTGGGGAAAAACGTAAGCGTACCCTCTTGCCTTCATGCCAAACTGACAGACTGTGCAAGAGTTGCTACTTGTAAAACGTAAATAAACAGCACTTAGCCTCAAGCCTGTAGCCTGTTTTACTTTACAGTTTAGTTAAAGCCCTTTATTAGCAACTATAACAGAAATCAGAGGCATATATGCTTCTGCGGAAATAAAGTGCAAATCAGAAATGATCAAGCTGCGCACAATTTTATCACCATTCTTCCCATAATTCTGCACTTTTGTCTGATGACTCTGATAAAAAATGAAGATGGATCCCTGATTTATTATGATGTTTTGAAGCTTATTTAAAAACCAGTGAATTTAACACATTTTTAAACAGCACTGCTATAGCTTCTTACGACCCTCTGTTTATTAAGCCGGTAGCCCTCTTAACACCCCTTACAATGACGTATAAACCCAGAGCTTCTAAGCAGCAGTTTATGGCATCAGTATTTCAATTATGCACTCAATAGTTGAGCTACAGCTCATGCAACAGAATTCAAGTTTTCAAATTCTTGGAAAAAAGGAATTTTAGTGCCAGTTCGTTTGATTTCACTGAATAAATAAAAAGTTTAAACCTTACACAGTTCCTTTCCCTTACCTCCCCTCTTAATTCGGTAATTTTGCGAGCATTTTCTGAGTTGTTGCCTGACTGATAAGCATCCTCCTGGTCAACTTTGAACTGTTGTTCATGTTTGCTTCTGAGTCTTGCTACCTGTAAAATAGATCCCATTTATGACAATACATGATAAGTTGTGAAAGTTAGTATGATCCTCGCATTTTAATAAACAACCTAAGCAGCTGAAAATGACCCTAAGAAAATTTAGCCTTGACCAGGATTTTCAAGCTTGAATTTTTCAGGTTCTTTTTCAACTGCTCAGGTTATTTATTCAAATGCAAGGATCATATTCACTGTGATATATTCATCCGCAGTTCAAACTATGAGGCACTTCATATAATATTTTTATTCACATTATAAGTTGTTTGGGCCAATTAAGAAGCCCCAGGAGTGCCGCCATTAACCTATTCTCCCCTGGAGATTTTGCCATTTAAAGGCAGTCTTGCCATTGTCTAGTCACAGGGCTGCAAATAACGGACAGCAGGTTGCCGGTCATGATGACCGGCCAAATGTTTTGTAGCCCGGACAAACCCCGATTCTGGCCGGTCAAATAATGAATACTAATAATTTTTTTTTTTTGCCTAAGGAATATCCAATTATGTTGGCAATAGATCGTTATTACTACATTGACGTTCACATTTTTGACAGCAAATTGGTGAAAAATGCATTCGCACGTTGTAGAGTTCCTTTCCGCGGTTTTCACGCGTTTTATTGTTTAATACGTTCTACCTAGAGGATCATTGCACGGCGGTGTCTGAAGTCTCTAGAGGTAAAAAGTGAAGCGTAAATCCTTTTCAAACTCCCAAGGTTCAGGAAACGGAATACACATACAATTCAGAAAACTTTAGAAATTACGAAAAAAAAAACAAAAAAATTGTGTTATTTTACAAAATCTGCACACGCTTGTTTTACGTTGATGTTCCGAAATGAACATCGGTGAAACTTGATCTTTTTCCTTGCCTGGCACGTGATCGAAAGTCACTTCCTCAAAGAAGAATCGTCGCTGATATTTTCGGCAAAAAAGTTGATTTGCATTGGCGAGAAGTTTGTTCCACAAACAGCGTGTTGATGATCAGAAGTCAATAAATAAATTTGGGTCATCGCGCAACATTTTATCGCGAAGGGCTCAAATGTCAACAGAAATTTGCATAAAGTTGTTTACAAGAACGAGGATCTAGCGTCGCGATAGACGACGACCTTCCCTCTTGAGTAGCTTAAATTTTTATCAGACCATTCTGGAATCGAGTCTGCAAACGAGATTCATGTTCGACATAAAATAAATTATTATTAATCGATGCGCGAACATTTATTCCCGGAGAAACACAGGACGACCTGTTGAGAATTGCGATCGATTTGCCTGAATTCCTTCGAATTCCCAAAGAAGGTCACATTGCTGATTACAGCACAGCCGAAAGTACAGTACGACTTGCAACGTTGCGTTACTTTCCAACTCAGTTTGTTATTCACTTTGTTGCGTTAGATTACGACATGACGACATGAAATTAATTTATTGCGGCGTTCTTTTTCTTAGAAGGGTTTAGTGCAAAGCAGCAAAAAACGCCAAAGAAAAAAGAAATCATTGCAGCGTTATAGAGCATTAAGCGACAACTGTATGGAAAATAAAGTGTTTGTATCCAAAAATGACCGGTCAAAATGACCGGCAAGACCGGAGTTTGACCGGTCAACTCCGCGATCAGGCCGGACATTGTCCGTTGACCGGCCGTTATTTGCAGCCCTGAGTCACTATCTGGCCAAGAAGAACCAAAACTACCGAAAATGTTGTTTATAAATCAAATACTACACTGGCTTCTCTTCCTGGTACTAAATTACTGCTTTTGAATTTAAAACACCCCAGGAAGACCACTGGGGTGGGGTGGGGGGTGGGGGCACTCAACAAAGTATTATATGGGTAGCCTACAGCGCGATTCCCAATCCCTTACCCTTCTATATCATTTTTGACAGAAAATGAACCCCTCATGGTGTCAGTGCCATATGTCAGTTGAGTTTATTTTTTGTTGAATCTCTTCTTTGCTTAGAGAAGAGGCTGCTCAATTAGTTGGGGACACTGGGAACTGTCACTTTGTCTCGTGCCCTCCTTCCCATGAAAGACATAATAGGGACCTTAAGATCTGATGACAACAATGGCAACCAACCTCAATGTCTAAAAAAATTGGTTTAACACACAAAACAACAATTCTGCATATACAGCACACTTTTTTGTATATTTCTTTGCCATAACTGATGTGAAATGCCTAGTTTCATTTTTAATGAAGGACGTAAACAAGCCACTGCAAGATTCTCTCCCTCTTTCTGATCTTGAATATGGTTCTCAGGAATACAGTTCCAGGAGAGTTTGCCTTCATTTGACAAAGTGAGTGAGTTGGAATAATTTTATTGCAATGAAGATTGAAAGAAGGTAAATTCACTTTTTACAAGATGTTTTTGCTGCCATCACCGTCCTCGGTCCCAAAAAGAGATATAGAGAGGATATGACCACAGGTTAGATCAGACTATAAGGACTACAAGCTATGGGCACAGATTTCTGGATAGAAATTACATCTGACAAACCTCTTGAGAAGCATCTTGATATGAAACCTTAAGCTCCTCATTTTTCAGCTTCAAAGCAGTGAAATCAGACTGGATGCCATCCAACTCTGACAAAAGATTCTGCTTTGTACTGAGAAAAAAAACATGAAAGGCATTGAAATTCAAACACAGTGCACGCTCAAAACCACTGCAGGAGCTAACTTAAAATAAACTGCTGGTAAATAATGCGAGGCGCATTTGGTTATGAGGGCAAATTTTTCAATGATCATCAAGTCAAGATTGCATGTTTTTTCAACATGTATTTGGATCCGTGTCATGGAATCATTCCCAACAGCTATTAAAGCAAAAGAAGATTTTTTGCCCCTCAAAAGAACTGTTTACATGATTAATTCAACAAAACTAAAGGGTGCCACATGCATGTGCCTTACAAAGACCCTTGCAGGCACCACACAGGGTCTTTAAGGGCGGTTCGTGTGAAAAAGATTGCAGAAAAGGTTAAACACTTGCCCACCAACCTGACTTAATTGTCATTATGGAGAGAGTGAACACAAAAAATAATCACATACATAAATTTACACTACTAGATGACAGATTTATGGCTAAAGTTACAAAATAACCTCTTGGTCAATTTTAATGACAAAATGACACCCTGCTTGCTTATCTTCAAACCAAGAAATTTTCAGGCATTCCATATGGGAGTAAAAAATTCTTGGAATTTCAGTCATCTTTCAGTTAATCAACAAACAGATTCAAGCAAAAATGCTTGTTTAAGTCCTTTTGAAAACTGAATATATTTGTTTCTTCTAGTAAACTATGCCTGTTTTCAGAAAACCAAGTCCTGTGAATGGTGATAATGTAAGAGGTATATACCGGGTATTTTGTACGTTCAGCAAATTACTTTGCATGTACAAAGATATATGCAAATTACAGGAAAGGGTGTCTGAATTTATGATTTCCTGTTACAATATTTTTTATTGAGTGTTTAAAAATGTGAGCACCGGATTCCTCACCTTCTTTCCGCTGACAACAGTTTCTCCGTTTGTTCCAGTTTCATTCGCATAACTGTAAATTGTTGAGAGCTCTCCACGTTCAAGTTTTCGTCGTATGATTTTTGTTTTCTAGCACTTTGTCGGCTCCTTTTGCGTTCTTCTGCTGGAACAGAAAAACTTCTTTCACGATCAAAGCCTGTATCGTCCACTTTACTTTCATAAAGCTCACTCTTTTGTAGTATTTGTTCAATAAATTGTTTCTCTGCCCCTAATTTGGGCACCGTAGCTTCATAAACGCTAGAATTCTTAGTCTGCTCACTTCTGTCAACAAAATCTGACGATTCTTCTTTGAGTGAAGGTTCGACTCGAGCCGAAGGAATCAATCGTCTGTCCTTTTTCAGTTCCCTTTCCAGCTTTTCAACTTCTTTCTGAAGTTTCGTCTGAGTTTCTTGAGCTGCCAGCCTCTCTCGTTTCAAATTTGAGATTTCTTTGGCAGCGGCTTCAAGCTTGAGTTTGAGTTGTCGATTTTCCTCCCTTGCTTTATTTCTCTCGGCGCGAACTTTACCCCATTTTTCTCGCCAGTTTGCGGTGCAATCCGACCACCATCTCATTGTCTTTTCCATTTGGCTAGCTCTTGCTCGAGCTTCTTCTAGCTCCCGTTCTCTTAGTTCATCTCTGGCGTCCAAGTCATCTGTTTCTGTGAAGGGAATTGGAAGATCGCCCGCAGACTTTGCCTTCTCGTGTCGCGTAGGGTTTACAGCTTGAACTTGTACGCCGGCACCGTTAATATTCATGCTGAGCTCAATTAATCGTAGTAACTTTTGTGAAATTTCAAGGAGCTTACGGCCGGTAAATTGCTCGAGTTACAGAGATAACTCTAACCTCCAAATACTGTTATATCTTTCGTTACAAAGATCTTGGACTTTCCTTGAAATTATATAAGCTTGAACTTGATTTGCAAACTCTTCGCCTGACGGCCAAACGTGAACTAATCAACAGTCTGCACTCCACCGTTTCAAGTCACAATAATGAGTTAACAAAAACTGTCAGAGCATAGAAGTTAATATGTTTACATCATATCTCAATCAGTTTGCCAAGGTGGCTGTCAATTCAACAATCTCCCGCTAAAATCTCCAGCGATTACCATCTCCAATCTGACGTTCGCGCCAGCGATGGCGGAGGTTGATAGTATTGCTGCCCTTGCTGTATGCAATCACAAGTTGTAGTGGACACGTAAATCAGGTAGTTGAAGACCACGAGGAACAAAATGATTAGCCGGTTCACTAAACGTTAATGGCTGACCTCAGTACAAGGTCAAAGAAACAAAAACAAACATTAGCGCAAAAGGTCTCATGTGCGCCGCCATTGTTGTGGCCGTTTTGGAGCTTCTTGAAGGTGTCAATCAATCGCATACCGGAAGTGTAGTGCTTCGCAATTTTCACATCTTCCGGTTCTGTGGGGAAAGCCGAAGGAAAGTAGAAAACGGACATACAAAAAATCCATTTCTCTTTTAAAAAATCAAAACATCATCAAAGTTATGTGACCTGCTAGCCCGGGGGACGAGTGAAACAACCTTTTTACATTGTAGCCAATCAAAGCGAGTGAGGCTTAGTGTAGGTGACATAAAAACTTTAGGGCCACTTGCTTTTATCAAGTCGTTAGAGAAAGATGATAATAAATAATGCGATTAAAAAGGTGTCAAACGAAGTTTTTGCACAAAAAAAAACTTTAGTAATCAGGTGAGAATGTACGCAGTCAAGTGTGCCTTCAAGTGCGAAAGTGCGCAGACTGCGAGCAAGCTCCTATTTGGGCGAGTAAAACGAGTCTCGCGAGAACGCGCGAGCAAGGGGCCGAGGAAAGGCCCCTCACTCGCGCGTTCGAGCAAGGCTCGCTTCGCTTGCCCAAATAGGAGAGCTTGTTCTTGTTTATGTTTGCAGGCTAGCTAACTTTAGCTAAGCAGTGAGATAAGCAGTGCCAAAAGGGAGATGAGATGTGGAAATACTAGCTGCAATGAAACATTCAGTTTTCAAGGTTCTGTTGCTAATGATTTAACCTCATCAAAAGCGCTCGTGATGAAAAGAAAATAGAGGATAGATTTCCGGGTAACTGGATTCTGAAAAAAAGGGGAAAAGGAAAGAAACCTTATAATTTAAACCTTTCCCCCCTTTCTTATATGAACAGAGGAGTCTTATGATTCAATTTTTAGAGAAAGCTTTTAACATGCTTTACCTTGTTATCATTTAAGTGCAGTTCGTTTTCAATCTTAAAAGTGAAACAAGCGCTCAAAATATTTATCTGTTTTCATATAAACTGGCCAATTGTTGAAATTTTCTGTATTTGAAAGATCAGAGAAGAGACTGGAACTAGTAATTCCCTATGGTACTCGAACATCAGGACGAGGCTCGATAAACATAACATGGCAGCAAAAAACGAAAATGGTGCTTGCGATCTTCCAGAGGAAATTTGGTTCCATGCGATTTCATACCTAACAGCTGTTCAAGATATTCTCCATCTAGGATCTACATGTGAAAGGCTCTACGAATTAACAAACGAAAACATTATTTGGCGAAGGCGTCTTAAAGCTGACAATCGCCATCTGTTGCTCCTCCCTCGAACTTCTACATCATATACTGGCTATACTGTCAATCGTGCTTATATCGCTAGCTGCAGTAGTGACAACAATGAAGTTTTAGAAGATGAACCGGGTATCTGGAAAAAGCTTTATCTAAAGGCAAGTCATGCTATGTCATTTGGAAATAGGCACTACAGGGGTTTCTCAAGTCTTGCTGGAGAAAGATTGTGTGCTGAGTTTGTGGTAAATCCCAGTGCAACTAGGGTTAATGGCATTCGATTTGATGACCAGGCCCCAGTGAAACAGAGCGTAGAAATGTGGGTAAAGCTAAATAAGAAGAAACCTGATGGAATCATTATAGGATGCCAGAGCGAATCAGTAAGGTATAGCCCTGAGTAGCTCTGTGATCATCCACATTTTCCCTACGTTAAATTTAAAATAGAGCAACTACAGAATCTGACATCACTGAAGCGTAAGCATAATGTTAGTGTTTTAAGTCGTGTTTTATGACACTTCTATACTATTCTTGAGCAATCCTGTAAAAATTCATTTAGTTTCAATTGGTTTAGTTTCCTTATTAAGGTACTCCTATGAACCATATTGAGAAAACATTACCACATATTGGACTGATTATCACTACCAACCACTTGTAGAAGAAAAACAAAGAAAAGCGAGCATGTGGACTATAAGGTGCAACCATACGAGTTAGAATAAGATTTGAGACACAAATCTCCAATTCAATGAGGAGCTATCATTGGAAGGAGGCAATCCCCTATAACACTAACAAGGGTGTTTATCTTACTTTTCATGGAGGAAGCTTAATGGTTGTTTGTCGATTCGTATCACTTAGAGACGGGTTATTGGGGCCTATTGGAACCCAGAAAACTGGAAAAAAATAAAATCATCCAGTAATGTGAAAAAGACAGGGTAAATCTGCAAACCACACAAAAAGACCGAAACAATTCTTCTTTTCATGAATTTTCCTTAAAACCGGAAACCACCAATAACGGCATTGGTATTGGTTAGAAACTGAAAGCTAATGTTAAAAAAAGAATACTGCAAAAGGCTCAAAAGTGAAAAGCCAAAGATTTTTTTACGTGAAATGACAGAAACCAATGACAAAAATGGCTTTTAGTTTGTCCACAGACACCAGAAATTGTTGCCCCTCTCCTGAGTCTCCTGCATGTGCTAAAATTACAAAAATCATAGTCAGAATTAACACAAGTACATGAAAATTTTGCTGTTAGCTTAAAAATGTGTGCAGTTTTGGATGTTATAATCTGCTTATATAATTAGACAAATATGCCCCTGGCAATTTTTGTTATTTCTTCGTTGAAAACAGTTTTCTTTGTTGTTTGTTGGTAAGCTCTAACAGGTGGCCTCAGTATCATTGGCAGATACTCCACGTAGGCCCTGATGGCTGCATTAGAGGCTCCTTAGAACCTTATAAGGTCATGAAAGGGCCTTGCATTAATGATGGACTGTGGCATCATGTTGCATTATCAGCATCTCCTGATCGGCAGTGCATGTTTGTAGATGGACATGTTGCATGTTCTATAAACGTTGGAATTGGACACGGACTTCACAGGTGTGTCTATTAACAATGTTCATTATTATTATGACTAAGCTAAGAGCGACGGATAGGAGAATTAATTTATTAAGGCAATAATTGTGACAAACACAAGCAAATTTGAAATGTTGCCCTGGCAGAAAAATAGTATGTTGCAAACATACACCAGCAAGTTACCAAGGTAGTTTTGTTGTGGGTAAAAAACAGTCACAACCATTTATAACAGTCCCTTATTTTTTTGTCTTTACTTGGTCTTATGGGGTCATTTTGGGTCTCCTGACATATAAACATACTGATTTGAGTGCAACATTGAGGCACTTATTCTGCCTTCATTTTCATCATCTTCACCATCATCCATCATCTGCACTTCTGAAAGAACTTAAGGTGTCCTCTAACTGCTCCCCAGTAAGCTCAGTTGGGAGAGTGCCTGACTACTGAGCAGGAGGTTGTGAGTTCAAACACTGGCCGGACCAACAACCAGGGTCTTAAAGAAGCTGGTAAGATCATGGTGGCTGTGATTTAAGAACCTGTCTCAGTTGAGATGATCTTGTCATTGGGCGGTGATATTTAGCCATTGGTGTTCTCTCCTTCATCCTTTTTTCATTGGTCAAATTGAAGGGGATGTAAAAAAACCCACACTACTGTTTGGAAATAGCAGGGGATGTATCCCCAGTGGTGTGTTTTACCTTGCACACTTCATTCATATCATGGGCAGGGTGAGTTACAGTAAGCTTATAAATGGACCGATAGTGGCTGCCAGTAGCACCCTTATATGCTGGTATCCGAGCATACCTTTAACATGTTAAAATGTGATGTAAAGAGGACAATCTGTTGTCCTCTCATCCACAACATTTTAGTGTTTTGCCTCAAATCATGCAAGTCCTCTTTCCTCAAGTTCTAACATCCTTGTGTACTTTCAAGAGTTTTGAGGTCTCTCTCTGTTACACTTCCCCTGCAGTTAACAGTTAAGAGCTGTCATGGGTACTATTCCATCTTATTTCCTCAGTTTGTAGCTGATCCATCTCCACGTTCATCCTTATGTCTCCTCCTCTATCGGCTTCTGTACTGCCTGTTTCCACAGCTCTTCATTTCGGGTAATCAACAAAACCCAGATCTTCTAAGGTTGTCATGATGGCCATTGGATAGCACGTCTCCTTACAAAGGCCATTCTTACCCAATCCAGAGTAGCCAGAATGGGTAACAGCAGCCAACATTGTCTGACCCCCGTTCTCACGCTCATCTCTGTTGACCTATGACGATTATGCACAACCTACGTGGAAAAACTTTCATACAGAGCTCTACTAATGGTGACTATCTCGGCTTGAATGCCACACTGCCACGACTTCAGAGTCACAACAACGCTCTTCTGACACTGTCAATGGCCTTTCGAAGTCTATTAAGTTGATGTATAAAGGGGACTGCCACACGATACTTTGTTCTACAGTAATTCTTAATGTTGCTATCTGGTCCATACAGTCCTGATCAGCTCAAGAACCCGCCTGCTGCACACTCAGCTGCTTGTCTGGTGCCATTTTAATGCGTTCAAAAGCGGAGTGCCACGCTAGTCTAACAGTGGCTCAGTTCGCCTTTCTTTGGTGGATTGATTAACAAACCCTTCCTCCCTTCATCCAACACCTTCTCCTCGTGCCATATCTGGTTACAAAGATCTAAAAGAACCAGTTTCCCTTTCCTCTGGTATCATATTGTTACAGCCTGCTGGCTTCAGTCTCGTTCTTAAGCTTCTTTATAACATCTGTTGATGAATCGCTTCCTCTATCATGTATTGAGCAATACTCCCACTTAATTTCTCACTGGGTTACAAGTGTTCTAGAATCTTCCACTCAAACCTCCTGTTTATCCCGGACAAAGGCTTCACATCACTCCTCATCACTCCCTCCTTCCATCCACCTCAGCTCGCTCTACCTCCTACTCTACATATACCCTCTTGTGTTTTTTACATTTTCTCCTGCCGAGTTTTTGGGACTCGCAATTCTCCTGAGTTCTTGTCTTAGGCAATACAATGTTTGCAGCATTTTTTGCTTCCTTTCGGTACTCAATCTCCCAAGTGTTGTTTATACTGACTCACTACTTTCTGTTCGATCGCGCATTCCCCAGCACCTCTTCGCATGCCTCCTGGTAACCTTTTTTGATCTGTCTCCACTTGTTTTATCCACTAAAGGTTCTTCTTCTTAATGTTGCAGACACTCAAATCTATTTTGCAGCCTCAGCGTAAAAGTGTCTTTTGTCTCTAAGAAGACCCTTAGCCTGTTAACCTCAAAATGTACTCAGCAACTCCTATATCCTTCTTTATTCTGGAAAACTTTGTCCTCACCTTTGCCATAAACAGGCGATGAACTGACCCAACATCAATACCACACATGATGCAAATATTCTGCGATGAGCTCCTGGTCATATCTAGCTGATGTTCAGTACTACCAGCTGGTGAAATCCATGTCCGACGATTCCTTTGTCGGCATTGCGTTCCACCTCTTACTAGCTCATCAACTTGAAAAAAATCAGCCCACCTCCCACCATTTCCATTCATTTCAGCCCTTAATCCATGTCTAACTATCAACTTCTGTCTGCCGTTGGTGTCCACGCCAACCTTAGCATTCATGTCTCCCATTACAATCTTATTATATCTGCGTAGCCCTTGCTTAGACACTGCCTACAACACTTCATAAAAGTCGAACTTTACCTCCTTTGTTGCCTCGTTTGTAGAGACATGGCACTATTTGACCGTGAGCTCCCCTGCTACCACCTTGAGTTGACCTGGCCCTGATGGTCCTCTCAGACACCAGCTCCCATTCTAATAGACGTTGCGCACCATCTTTTGAAAGAACTAAACTAACTAACCCCTCTCTCATGATATTCACCTTTATCCAGTCCAGAGCACGGCACAGTTTCTCCAATGGCCGTCATCATCTTCCCACAAAAGTTCCATTTCACTTCACTCACCTCTGGGATGCTGATTGCATGTTTCTTTTTTTCATTAACCACCTGGACGCACTTCCCCCTTCGAACATTTTCCCGCTTCGTGACGAGCACCTTTGGCGACAGCAATTTCATTGACAGTTATAAGGCATTATTCTTCTTCCCTTCGCATAATGATTGGATCGTTCGTTGTCGTCTTTTTGCTCTGCTTCCCCGTAGTAGTGCACAGTAACAATGGGAACAATCCGTTAGCCCACCACCTAACACCAACCTGAAGGAACAGGTTGGTTGGAGTAAAATACTCAAGCTGACAAAGCTGTCAGGGTCGTTAATCCGCACAAACTATCTCACCGGTGTAGTGAAATGATCCCATCTCGATAGACTTCACCGTTATTAGGTTTGATTAAGTTAGCAGACTAATCCAAGAACATTTAGCACATGAAAACAGACGACGGGCATGTAACAAAGACTAAACTATTAGTGTTTTGCCCAGTCCATACTTTGCTTCTGGAGAAACTCTCGTATACAAAGCGTCAGTATAAAAGAGGGCGCAAAAGGGTTTGAGGGAATGTGATTTTACTAAAATTTTTATTTTGATGTCACGTATTGTGGTTTATGGGACTAAGCAGTTTGCGGTTTTTATAATTTGGTTGCGGCATTGTTTGGTTTTCAGATAAAGTAAGTGCGGGCCTCCAAGCAGTTTAGTCTGGGGTAGGGTATTATAATCGGCGTTTTGGACTTTCATTTCCTGCAAAACGTATTAGGGATACTTGGTCTAGAGATAGAAATTAACTGAAGTCCACCCATTTGTCTCTCAGATATTACATGAAGCATAGTCAGATTGGTAATGGAGTTATCAGCAATGGGGTATGCACACCTTGGGGAGATGATGCCATGCCTCATGGGCATTGTGGATGGTATCCCTTTCATGGCTTGGTAAGATTTATATTGTTCAGCCATTTTTGAGTGCCACCTAAAACGAAAGCTATGACATTCAGTTATGAGAGTCGGTCATTTTCAAATGGTGAAACCACCTTTACTTAATTAAAGCAAACACCCTGTGTATAGCACTTTTTGTGTCTTTGTATGGAGAGCCCCAGTCTGCACAAAATGTTGACAAAATAACCTTTAGCATTATTATGGTCTAAATCTGATAACAGAGAGGGAAAATGCATTTGTTATGTTTTCACGTTGATTTGCTCACCAATTTATTGCCATTAGCGATAACTTTAAGACAGTGCGTTTGGTTTTTAATGTTTAGGTAAGGGAAGTACGCATCTGGTCATGCGCGTTGACCCAAACTGAAGTGCGTCAAAACATGTATTTACAGAGAATTGACCTCGCTCAACAAATTGACAAGAGTACGCTGATAGGTTACTGGCCAATGAACAGACTCATGTCGGGCCCATGGCCCTGGCAAGGGTCATTAGTATCGTGTACCTCGCACTTAGAGGAACACAGAGAGAACAGTGTACATTTAAGGATTGTGTTCTCCAGTTTACCCTGACGGTGTGATCTGCAATTGAGGGTGTCCTAGCGTAGCTTCAGACTGTGAAGTGCGTACTCACACTATGAGTGTGTTCAAATACGGAGGCGTTTTTCGGCTGTCAACCTGTCCGCCATCGTGTATTTGGGACTGTGATATCGCCTCAGCAGCAACAACGTTCAGAACGTTAGCCTGGGAAAACAGCCGACATTTTGTGACGCCACCACTGGTTTCTCCGCGAAGTGACGTCTGAGGAACGAGCGCAGAAATTTCATACAGATGACGTGTCACTATGAACTGAACAGCAATTCGGGGTTATTATTGGCCCGGACTAGCGAAAGTTTGAATGAGACGTCCAAGAAGACAAGACTAACGGCTCAGCCTAAGGACTCTTTCACGTCATTGTGAGAAAAGGTTTAAGTAAGCCTAGCTGGAAGAGAACGCGCCATCTCCTACCCCACCCTCTCAGCTGGGCCAACTTAGTTGGTCGTGCCGTAATTTACTTGAATGAGGGTCTAACAAGCAGTAGCTGAACACCCTATTCGGTCTGAACCATACACTTCTCATTGTAAATTGACAGGACTGCTTTTAGCGTCTAAGATTTAGGCGATCGGGTTAAGTAGGGAAATCACAATTTCTTGCATTCTAACCATTCATTTGTGTCGGTTTCTTTCTAAACTATGGGTTATGAGGATTAAAGGTACCCTAGTCCTTGTCATCATGGAACACTAGTAAAATTCCAAACTGTGTCACTCTAGTTACTTAGTCTCCTGGCAATCAGTCGATGACTTTGAGTCGAGTATCTTGTAAAACGTCATTGTGCCACTTGACGAAACCCCGGCCCAGCATAGATGCTACCTATACAGTCGGACCTCTATGTTCGACTACCTTCCGTAAGCGACCATGAAAGCACTATAGTTGCCCCCCCCTCCCCCCCACCCCCCACCCCAAGCGATCATCAGAGCGCTATAGCGAGTTAAAGCCGCTCTTAAGTGACCATCAAAGCGCTAAAGTAAAGCACTATAGTTAATGTTGAATCCTCTCGGAAATGACCATCAAAACAATATAGTTGGAACCAAGGATCATTGGATCATTTTAGCACTATAGGTAAGTGGAGATTACAGTTGATTTTGGGGGGGATTGGGGTTGAATTGAGAATGAAAGAAAGAAGGATAGAAGAGGGTATACACGTAAACCAGTTAGTCCGCTAATTGGCTCAGGGCCACCTTGTTGTGGTGGAGGACTTTTGTCTATTAATCGTTCACTTCAAATTTTAATTTTAACTACCCTTAAATAAAATATTTTCCATTTTTCCATAACTTTTAACATTTGTCCTTCAAGCTTTCATTGATTACAAATATTCTAATAATCACCAAAAAATGCTAAAAAACTCATCGTTCCAAGAACTTCAGGATGAGTGATCTATTTTTAAAATAGAATGACATTTTGACAAGATTTTCAAGGAAAAGTGCTCAAGTATAATACAAACAAGGCGTTCACCTGTAACCCCCCCCCTTAATGCATGTTAAAGCCTCTTGTAAGCGCCTGTCACAGCACTATAGTTGGAACCTGTCGTAAGTGACCATCAAAGTACTGTAGTTGGTCACAAAACGAAAATAACGAAACTGGAACACAGTTGACGCTGAATAATTTGGTACATTTAATGAACTTTGCCTTTGGCGTGGTCAATGTAATACTGAGTTAACTTTGTCACCACGTAATCATCTAAACAATGTTTCTTGCGACGTCAGTCATATAAAGCATCAGATCTGCCAGGTCCGACAACGAAGTGCTGGCTTCAAATAGTTGAAATAACAAGAAAGTATTCAAGAAATTTTACCTTGTAATTAACTTATTTTCAAATAACGTTTTGACTTGCTAAACTAAATAAATTACAATTAATGACAACTGAATAAAATATACATTTTTTTCAAAGAAGTATAGAAAAATAACAATACTTTGATTACGCCATTTACAAGGTAAACCGGCCTGAATACTTTGTAACATTCAAACCTTTCTAAGACAGACACTGGTAGCACTATGCACTATTACTAATCAAAGGTGCTTCACACCATAAAGACATAAACAGGCTTGTCCCTTCGATTCGGAACCATTTAACAGTTGCACCCATTTGATCAATAGTTCTTCCGAAGTTAAAAAAATCGAGAATTTGATTGAGAAAAATCTTGTATGAATGTTTTACATTCAAAAGCACGATTAGCGATTAACTTTGGTCGCTTTTCTTTAGTCGCAATGAATTTGCTGTTTTACAGCAGGGACAAAAAGTGCCATGACCTGTCCGTCAAGGAAGATTTGATCAACTTTTTTGTTAGTGGTGCTCACTCGACAAACGTAATTAGGCTAAAAAATATATAAATTTAGTACTTATCCTCTTATGAGTATTTCTTATATTGCATTCTGTTAATCATGATTGGTTACTTATACTATCACTTCAGTATTAACACGCCAACGTTAGCATTAAACATTGGTGTCTTCCAAAATGTTGTCTTTGTACGATATTGATGCCTCGGCCTCTTTTAGTGGGACTGGTTCCAATTTTTCGTAGTTGACAAAGCCAAAATACCGCGCAATGGCCACACCGGGAATGAATACCACGGACATAAGGACGAGGAGTACCACAATGAATACTGCCCAGTCTGGGTAAGGCACCTTCTCGTAGGTGGCCTAGTGGAAAAATACATAAAAAAGCATGACATATAACGGAATTATCACAAACGTTAAAAGAGAACATAGAAACGAGTTCGAACAATGTATAAGAGAAGACGAACGCCAAAGTGCTTGCAAGGCAGATAAAGGACCGAGCCATCCGTTCTTAAAACCAAACTGAACTATCTGAGAAAGGTCCAGGCTATAACTAAAGGCGAAAATGACTTCCAAGGTGATAAGATACAGGTTTTCACATACTTTGTCTTGATTCCAAGCATAGTAGGAGGCCTTTCCCTGTGACATCAACACGATGCTGGCTATCAGAATAGCTAACATCGCAACTGGTGTGACAACCATCCAGCAGATTTTCCAAAAGATGTTTGGTCGACTTCCAGTCATGAATTCTATGTCATCTGAAAACCTGTCAGTAAATAGGATATGAGTAGGATCCCAAGGTTACTGCTGTTTACTTGGAGGGTATACAAAAAAAGCCGGATTCCATGCCCATGGGTGACACTACTTATTCCTAATTCACGCAACCCTCCCTTGTTCCTTTATCGTTTTTCCCAAGCATTCTTGGCAGGACACCTTGCCCTGCCTATGGCGAGGCAACGTTTGTAAACCTGACTATCATGACGTTGCACCACATTTCGGGTTTTTTGTTGTCAAGCATGAACGATTTCGCGGTTATTATGAAATCTTGGCCCTATAGATAGATCTTAGAAACATGATTCATCAGTAAGTTGGCTGCTGAAATTAAAATGGAAAAGAGAGGCTGTCCAGTTTGGACAACAAAGGGCATGAATATGGTTAGTTGGTATATTGAGGAATTGCACGTTGTGGAAATAATATATTTGTCATGAAAAGTTTAGTTGTGATGAAAAGCCGGTGACGAAAGTTACCTTTTAATCCCATAGCAGTAGCATACACCCACACACTCGAAAATTGCAATTAGCAGAAGAGGAAGGTTTCCCGCGAAACTGTCGAATATCTGCAGCACATATTCACCGGAATACGTCACCATAGGAAGACCAATGCAGAAACCAACAACACACATTAACCCTAGAAAAAAAATCATTTTCTGGTAAACTCTGCCACTTGTAATAGCAAGAGCCATATATGGCTCTTGGTAATAATTATTACAATTATCTACGCCCGTTTTCGAGATAAATTGCGTCATTCACTGTAGCCACAGAACTCTTGTCACGTGTGGGTATCACACTGGGATTGGTTCCCAAAGCCATTGTTAACAAAGAAGCAGTAGTTACACAGTTATTGTTTGATGAATTTCTGATACGTAACGGACGTACATATGAAAAAGACTAATTTATGCAGTTGTGTGGAATTGAACCATAAGAATTTTCGATGGCGAGACTATCTGAATGGTTATGAAATGTAGGGAAAAGCCAAGTTATCATTCCTGTCCTTTATCTGAACAGGTAACAGTTTGTCTTGGTAGGTAAATCTAGACAGTTCGAAGAAAACGGCTGGACCTCTGTTCGGTTAATAATTTATTTAGAGTTCCTACACAATTGCTCTCGCTCTTGTGCTGACTGGACGTTCCATTTTGGTTGCCGTTTCAACACTATAAAGTCTTCAAAACTGTGCTCACCTGATAATACTTCTCTCCGTAGCTTCCTAAAACCTCTGACATCTTTCAAGGCTGTCGTCACACTCTCCAGGCCGCCAAACAGACTGTCGAGGCCGAGGGTGAGAAGCATGAGGAAGAATATGATAGACCAAAATGTTGCTCCAGGCATTTGATTGATAGCATCAGTAAATGCAATGAACACTAATCCTGGCCCACTGGCTGCCTATAGATAGGATTTCAGATAATATCCTCTTTTAATAACGTTATTCAACGTGTCTTTGGCATTCACCCAGAAAAAGAAAGCCTTGTATTAATTATCAGTTTTCAGTTTTGTCTTCGAAAGCTTTCCCACGGTTTCGGCAGAAATGGCTTGCAGAGCAAAATAACATTTCCAAAATCGAAAATACCTCTGTTATCTACAACCAATCGTCAACAGCTAGGTACCCTTATGAACTAAGGTAATTAGAAAAATTATATACTGTTTCTGGAAGTTACACCTACATCTGAAAGAAAGTCTTGGATGTCACATTTCTGAAGTCCGCTTGTGACATTGTTTGTGGTGTTGCCTTTAAGCCATTCGAGTTGCTGTGGGTTTAGCCCTGTTGTGTTGAGTTGCTGAAGGGTTGTGTTCAGATTCTGTCGGAGTTGAGCATTTCTTGCTTCACAGTTTTCCATCATGTACGTTGCCCTGGTAAAAAATAAATTTACTTTCTTTTGGTCTTGTGCTACAACTATTGCGACAAGTTGTGACATGACAGGTGGGATATGTGTGACCCTTTCGCAACGTCAAATGCATACACTGTTTTTTAGGTTTTTCTATCCACTAACAGGAAATGTTTCGATACTGCTGGACATGATGGTATGCTATAAAGTGAAAAGGGCTTTTTGTGTATGGCCTTAATGAAGGGCTTGGTCTTCATAGATTGCGGTGTGACATGGAAGGGCAAAAGACGTTTTTCCTCAATTACAAGTCGGCAAGTAGATGAAGACAAATCACGCTCTCCAGTGGAATAAAATATATTTTATGATTACTGATTTTTTGGTAAATTCATGATGATCGTCGGAGACGATCATCGACCTGAAAAGTCACTGTAAATTCTTGGGTCGTCCTTGAAATTGATATTGAGACTGACTCACTCAGCAAATATGTATTATACAAATGATTATACTGTGCATTACAACGGAGCTGGCAGACGAAGTTCCATCATGTTTGGGTATAGAGATCCGAACGGTTGCTAACTTGTCATGGGCCATTGAAATAGAGATCGACATTACATGCATGGAAGCCGAACAGAACCTTTATAGAGCTGATAGAGCCTTATTTAGGTGTAAACTTGGTCTGAGACTCTGAGGTGAATGATCAATAGGTCAGCGTTCTTTTTAATGTTGCTCTTTTTGAGAGAGCTGGATGAAATACGAGGCATGCAATATTCAAGTTACCGATAGTTTTCATCATAATTCTATCATTTATTGAATGAGTAATAGGATATACGCCTTCTTGGACGTCTGGCGAAGCAGTGATGATGAGTGTCTTACCTGAATCCTAAAATGGAGAAAACGACTACCCCGGCGAACAAAGAAGTCATGCAGTTAGCGATGGAAACTGTAATAGCGTCACGAAGTGTGTTTTCGTGAATGGAATTGTAACTGGCATAGGCAACCATGGTGCCAAATGCCAGACCCAACGAGAAGAAGATTTGTGTTGCTGCATCAAGCCACACTAGTGGGTCCAGAAGACGTTCCCACTGTTGATTACAAAAACATATATCAGTGTTTCGAGAACTCCTGAATTTGCTGTTAACTGACGCATGTCAACTGGGCTCAAGGCGCAGAGAGCAGCGTCAAGCAGGTTGTGTTGACAAAAGGGGGGCGCGGATCCAAATTGTTCTAACCTAAAGGGGCTACGTCACGAGTATATTGCTGTTTTTGGTAAATTCTGTAAAGTCATTACCTAGTGCAATTACCCTACACAAAATGCTCCCTTAGACTCTGTCTCAGGCTGTAGAGTTATGAAGAACATGTCAAACAAATTTCATCAGGGAGCACTAACCACAATGATATTTTCGTGATTTTTCCAGGCATAGCATTAAAGCTTGAAACACAGGCCCAACTTTTTCAAGTCTTCAATCCATATCCATCCTTGCCATCCGTTGCAACAGACGACAGGAAATAGTTTGAATGCCTAAATGTAGTCTTAAATAACAAAACTGGACCATTATTTTTTTAATTCAATAAATGAGAAAAAAGCTTGAGCTTTTCAAAAAGATAGCAAATAGCGTGCATAGCCCCTTTAAAAACCTTAAACATGAGCATGCAGTCATGGCCTCAGAGTTTTGGAGTATTCCTCGTTATGCTATCCTCCTACCTTCAGGGACTGTGAACTACTGTAGGATGTGTAGTGTTTACTCGCAGAAAACTCGGTGGTGTTTCTCGATACTTTTTGCAACGTGCCTTGAGTGCCAAACAGGATTTCTCTTTTAAGGAACCTTGTAGAAACATTTCTGGATCCGCGCCTTGAAGCTGTTTGAAATTACATGTTTTTAGGAAAGCTGCATTTATTGTATTGAGTTTAAGTTATTGTTTAGTTTGAGGATCATGATGTCGTTAGTTAATTTATCTGGGTTAATTTAAAAATTAATTAATTAGTTTTTTCAAGGCATTTAACTTTGTCTATCGTTACATTACAGTGTTTCGAGAACAACTGTTTGTCGGTTAAATGGGAACTTGTGCTATGCGCAAGACACAGCAGCAAGTCAAAGCATCGTCTATATACTGTGAGTTGAACCAGTGTTTTGAGAACTACTGGGTTTTCTTTTGACATGTATCACTGGGCACGTAGCGCAGTGATCGGCAGTCAAGTCTATTATAATCAAGTGAATTGTTTTAACTGTTTTCGTCCAGTGTTTTGAGAACTACTGGGTTTTGTATTGACAGCTATCACCGGGCTCATGGCGCAGTGATCTGCATGAGTTCCATTTTTTTTGGTTAATACCGACCAGTGTTTTGAGAACTACTGGGAAATTCACGAGCAGCTGTTACTAGGCCCAAGGCTCAGTAACCAACAATAGAAGTTATACAATCCTTGCACATGTTTCCATGGAAAAACTGCGTTTTAAATTTCTTTTCGTCATTGAAGCTCCCGTCATTGGGACACTGGACATTTTTTGTATTTAGCCAGTGTTTTGAGAACGACTGTGTTACACACAACGGTTGCCATCGGGCACCAGAGGCAATAGACAGCAAGTCCAATTTTGGAATTTGACATGTATTTTATGATAGTTTTACAAGTTATTTTATCACTCTCGATCATTTTGTCATTTGAACAGAAACAACGTTTCGAGAACGCTCTACTGGGCAGAAACTAACGCTCTGAGCTCGAGGCGCAGTAGTCAGTTTGCCTATCACTGAAAAGGGAAAGAAACACTTTTTTAAATAGGTCATTTAACTTTATGTTTGAAGTTCTCTTTTTCTATTCAACGAGACATATAGATTAGTATTTCATGCCCACCTCTCTATTAAGGCTCAGAGGCTATTTGGACGTTTTCTCGCTTCATCTCCATCTCCATGTGTGTCTACACTGGAAGTATTAAAGAGAATTTAATTTATTTGTAAGCATTTCAGCAACATATTGCATTGGAATTGCAAGCGTTTGTTGGCAGCTACAACTTGTTGACTTTGTCTTGTTCGCACCCTTGTTACAGTCAGTTTCTTGGCTTGATCCTCTAGACTGATCTCGCATTGCTGCTCTCGGGTCCAGCTCTTCTGAATGTTTTTGTGGGAGGGAAAAATGTTTGCCCTGACAATCTTCTCAAACGATCTTTATCATCGACTTTTTGGCGCTTTTTTAATTTTCAGCGAGCAAACGGTGTCTCAATGTCTGCATTGGAATTACAGCGAAAGAATGTCAGCGTTTTTCGACACTATTTCACGCGTTGAAATACGACTGGAAACTGCATTGGAATTGCATTAAGTCTTTGTTCAAGGTGCAGCAGAGTTTATTTTATGACTCATTTCTTTGCCGACATTTCTTTGCCCATTTTTGGTGGTGACTCAAATGCAACAACTACAAAGGAGACTTTTCCTTGGAGAGCGTACCTTTAGGAACAACGTGACGATTCGCAATTGGTGTGTTCTGGATTCTTGACTGCATTTGGATTGCAGAATCAAACTTTGTCACGCCTTTTTCGACACGATTTCTCAGGGTTAAAATGCGACTGAGACTGCATTGGAATTGCAGAAAGACTTCGGTTTAAGAGCGGCGGAGTTTATGTAATGTCTTAATTCTGCCGACGTTTGTTTTGCCCATGTTTGGTGACGACGCAAATGAAACAACAGCAAAGGAGAACGTGTCTTTAGGAACAACGTGACGAATCGCATCGGTGTGTTTTGGATTCTCGACTGCATTTGGATTGCAGAATCTATCCCTAATTCGCACTTCTTCGTTTCAATCGACCACATTTTAGAAGAATACCTTTAATTACAGAAACTGCATTTGAATTGCAGGACATTCTTCTCTCCAGATTGTGCGTTGTCCTGCATTTGAATTGCAGTTTACATTCACCCAAGTGGTAATTGACTGCATTAGAATTGCAGACGCCACTTGGCCAATACTTACGTTTTCCTCGGAAGAATTGCTGTAGAATATCAAAGCTACAGTTAAGAATTACAGCTAATATGTTGTGCTTCAGTTATATGTTAGTACTTTGAATAGTAAGCATTAGGCTATAGACCTCATTCTACTATCTGTAAATAATCCTCACTAGTCTCTAATAGGACAATTTTCCCTTCCAGTAACCTGTCAACAAACTGAAGCTTCTCCTTGCAAACCATCGCATTGTTTCATTCGTCTTCAGTTCATGATAATTTCTGGTGAGGACAATGTCTTACGTTTTGGCCGGGATAACCTTTGACATCTGTGAGAAGGCATATTTTTCCAGATATCTTGGAAGGAGAACTGTATGAATGGGGCAGAGTTGAAAGTTCTCTTATTAATCCCAAGCATCATCCAGGTAGCTCAGTCTCAAAATGAGTTACCAGCAGTCCTTAATCTAACGCCAGCTAACCTCTTAGCGAGTTATATACAACTGCATCTTATCTACTCAAACTGAACAAACTCTTTTTCCCCTGGACAAGAAAATCGTGGATTATCAGGTTTGTATGAAGATTAATCTTACAATATAAAAACGTCATTTGATGACACTGGCATGACAACGGGCTTTCATCTCTATAACCACCTACAGGAGACCAACAATAACTGATAAACATAGTCGAAATGGCAAGCATGAAGAATGGACCATCTTCAAAAGAGTCATTGCTAGAGCCATCCTTTAACTGGAAAGAGTTTGGTTCTGCTAACTAACGCCAACTGAAAATAAGGCTTCTCTGCCTTAAAGCTGAAATGTCGGATTCCTGATTTTAGTCAGGATGGACATCCTACCTTTGGCGTAAACAGATGGATAACACCCGTTTCAAAGCCTTTCAACGTAAGACCTCGGACAAAGAAGGCGGCCAGAACAACATAAGGAAATGTTGCTGTGAAGTAAACAACCTGCAAGAAACCAGAAATGAACGGTTGCGTAAAAAAATTTCTCTGTCTAAAGGGTAATAACTCATAATATTCTGCTGGCATGTTCATTCATAAAGGAATTACGTGACCTGTTGTGGAAAGAAGCTCAGCGAGTGATGTCTGTATTACAATTCACAGCGATGTACAGATTTTTGTTTGCTTGCATTTCAGCTAGATCCTTTGATGCCCAAGGGATTATTTTTTAACCGGAGTCCTAATTTCATGTTCAAAACCTTGAACTTTTTAAATTTTGTTCATTTTTACTGCAGTCCTGTGGGGAAGATTCACCTTCAAATGCGCTTTTTGTAATACCTTTCCAGATGACTGAATGCTCTTGATTATGCAAAGATATGCCACTACCCACGCAACAACCAAGGCAACAGCCAACTTCCAGTTGATCTCAGCGCTCTCCTCTATTCTGCTGGCGTGCATTAATGTCTCGCGATGATAGTAGTAAGCAGTGGGGCTACTGGCATCACATTCTTTGGGAATCATCATCTCGGTGCGATTCAACTCACTGTTGAACACATCGACCTTCGGACACTCAGCCCATGGAAGAGGAGATCGGAACGAGTTGTAGAAGTAAAACAACACCCAAGCGATCACCACGTTGTAGTAACTACAGACGAGAATGCAAATCACTGTGGTTGCAATTCCCATCCCTCCAAGATAGGGACACACTGTGCTCCACACATTGATGGCTCCCTGGCGAAGCCTCTGCCCGATGCTCAGCTCCAAGTAGAAGACTGGGACGCCTTCGAAGATAAGCATGATGAAATAAGGAATCAAAAAGGCTCCTGAAACAAACAGAAAGCATTCTCGGTCAACAGTTAAGCGGGCGAATCTTTCAGAAAGAAAACTGGAATTGGCTGGTTTAACATGAGTATAAAGGATCAAGCGCATGTAGCCACAGCACACGTGGGTTTACTCATGTAGGCATCGGTTTCGCGCTGAAAAATTTCATTCCCTTTCATTTTACAATATCATATTACAGTGAAATTTGATAAATATGCGATACATTCTGTCGAACCAACTTTTTAGGGGGATCTAGTCAGCTTCTTCAAGACAACTGCTTGTTCTTGCTCTCAGTTTCTCTTTATTGGCTTAATGTTGACTTTCTAATGTTAATACAATTCTCTCTCATCCTAATTTTATAGTTGCCCTCAACCCATAAGCATGACCAGTAAACCCATGTGCTTGACTCGGATTAAAGCTTGCGTAAGGCTCTTTCTGCGGATTGGTCGAACAACGGAAGTTGTTAAGCGTCAAAGATTATTGGCTGACATGTGGAAACCTGCATTATTTTAATTAATAGTTGTTAAAACAACTAAAAATATACTTCTTAATAAACGCTGTGAAAATCAAGAGACATTCAATACCCCAATCACTAAAAGTACCGTTGTCTAAAATAAAAGATATCTATTTTATGAATTCGTTGAAAAGCACAAGAAAACAAGCCAAGAACCATGTTAAAAACAAAGATAAAAGTGATTTCTTGGAAATATACATGAAAAGGTCAGGTTAAGGTTGTGACTGAACTTGAGTGTCTTTAGGTGTAAAAATGTTAAAACATGGAAGAACAAATCAAAAAGAGTGTTTTCACTTACGTGGCTAGCATCTATCCAAATTTATTGGAACAAAAGAAAGCGTTAAGTAATGATCCAGGTAAGAAGGGAAGCAATTTCTTTTGTTGTGGCGCAATACATTTTCCTCACATAGAAATGTTTTCATTTTTACGCAGAGAGTGCATAAATCTACAAAAAGGCTTTTTACGAAAGAAAATGTATTTAAACTCCACTTTTAAAGGGTGTATTTTTGTGTTAAAACATTTCGACCAATCACAAGAGTTGCAAACAATGGCCAAGAAATGTTCACAATTTTACATGATCCGCACATACGATTTCTGTATTACTTAGACTCAGACGAGATTTTGTTATAAGGAAGTTGGATAGAAAAAAAGGGATTAATATACATGCTGCTTTGCGAAGATTTCGTAAAATTTGATGTTTAAACCAATCAGAACCTTAGTAGAGACAATAGTAAAGTTAGCACCTTTTTGCATTCCAACGTGTTCACTGCGTTTTGGTCCTTTCCTTCTTATCTGGACCATTACTTAATATAAGAAAATAGTTCAACTCCCACGGGATTTGTTTGGAAACCCAACATGGCCGCCGTGACGTCATGTGAAAACGCTCTATACGTTATCGCCTGTTTCGCACCAAATTCACGACATCGGGAAATATCTATCGGATCACAAGTTAAAGCGTAACCCAATTTGAAATATTTTCCAATGTATAAAAACAAACGTGATAACTGCGAAAACCCAAACACCAAATATAATCCTCTTAACAATATCTTTAACTCAAAACAACTACGTTGAAAAAGTTTTCCATCGCGAAATATTTTTCGATAATGTTTATCATTTAACAATTCTGTCCGTCGTCGGGGTCCTCGTCGCACCCAGGAAATTAGATAAGTGTGTTTACATTGTTCATTGGAGGAAAATTTCTATCAAAAGTTTTTTTATTAAGCCGATGAAAAGAGGATAACGCCTTTTAACTTTTTTCGTCGTAAAATTTTAGGAAAATGCTCTTCATTAAGAGTTTTTTTAAGACTCAAACACTGAGTTGTCACGAAGAAAAATAGAACTGTCTTGAATAATGTATGTTTAGGTAGTAGGTGAGAAGGAGATAACACAACCAACAAACAAATTCGCTATGATCATAGAGAGTACGAAACACCAACTATCTTAATTCTGTTAACTATAAAAGGAAATATCGAGTGATATTGCATATTCAGATTTTTCTTAGAATGGAAAAGAAAGACCTCCTTTTTAGCTAATAATCCAAGTGGTCTTGTCTTCATTTGTTCGTGCCTCGAATGGCATATTTATGCTGTTTGCATATAGGCCCAGGCAATTATCTCCTTGTTCCTATTATTTTAGCAAAATATTTAGAGATTATGCTTGAAAATAAAGCCTTGATTGAACCTTTGCGTATTTTTGGAGTGTTTTTGTTTGTTCTTTGTGACATTAACACTTGGCCAAGAAATTTGCTTTCATTAAAAAGGATGAAAATATCCGAGTAGCTGTTTTGGTATACAGACATAAATTCCTCTTGCTTTATTTCAGTTTCTCATCTTAAAAATAACAAGGTTGGTTTATTTTTCTTAGGTTTTGCATTACAGCTTTAATCTATGACCATCGTCTTTGTTGAACATAACCTTAAGGATTTATCCTTAAAATAGCAAAACAATTAGTTCTTGATGGCTGTTCATTGCTTGTGATGCCATTAATCCTGTTTACAGGAGATTAAGAGAAAAGAAGACACCGGAAAGCTTTATTGTTGTTCCACAGTTGCTATTATTAGATTTCTTATTACTTCTTCTCATTTTACTCAGACTTCACTGAGATGTTTTCAGGCCAACATGCTCTTAGCTTTTTTTCCTTTCAGTTACAACAAAGAAGGGCGATAGTTTATGAAAGTTTTATAAACTGGAGCATTAGTGGGAACAGAATAATTCCGCCCACCAAACCGTTTTATCAAGAAATCACAACAAAAATCGGTTCTAATGCTTAAGAAATAGATTAACAAAACAACGCCCACAACGTTGGTGTATTTGCTATTTCTACGAGGTATAAAACGGTTTCAGTGAGAGACAAGCTGCTTCCTTTCCTTAATATAAACATACTTCGAGTCAGTGAGCTGATTTATCTCAGGGTAAGAAAAAACTAAATTTGTCATCAGCTCTGTTTGGCCTGCACGAAAGGCGATATTTAGTGCGCTAAGGCGGGTTTTCAGGGCTCAGTCCAATAATTCACCTGGGGCCTCCCCAATAACGAACATTATACAGCCTATCTCCGATGAACACCTGTTATTTTTCCCTTACTGTATTTACTACATGATCAGGCTTAAGTCCGGTATCAGAAAATTGAACACAATTTAGCCGATAATTTTCTATTTAAAGGTTATTGATTAAAACAAGAAATATAGTAATTACAAGAGCCTAGCTCGTAGTTATCAGAATTGCTCAAATCGTGCACGATTTCAAGTATTAAATTCGCTTCAGTCCGGCATATATCAGTGTTTCTCCCACGCGTTTAAAATGTTACTTTTTAATTGAAAGGGGCGACGAAAGATAACCAAATAATTTCAAACAACCTGTAACCATGATATAGATTACAGACGGAAAAACTTAATTTTTCACGAGGTTACGAAAAGGGCACAATGCTGAGTTCTGCCAACAATACAAAGTTCTTCGATATTGGCAGACATTGACAGCTGACGAATATATTTTCTTTTACTTACGTTGCCGCTGCATATTTTAACTAGAACAATAAATTTGGAATAAAGTAAAATAACCTCGTAAAATGAGTTTAATTATTTTTACCTCCCCCGTTTTTCTGGCACAGCCAGGGAAATCTCCAGACATTTCCCAAACCAACAGCGAATCCGATCGCGGACAGCAGAAACTGAATCTTGTTATCCCAGCCGAATCGTACTTTTTCACTTTCAACCACCTCGATCTCTACTTTCGCTGGTTTTCCTTCCTCGTCCGCTGCTAAAATCGCCGTAGTAGAGATTGTTTTATTTGAAGTCCCATTTCCAACAAGACAGTTCTCATCTGCCATTTTACTAGGTAAATTTCTGAATCGTCTGAGGACTAAAATAACAGTTCTGTTCAGTTCCTAACTGTACTTGGCAGAGCCTTGACAACACTGGATACGATGTATATAATCTTTTGGTCAATATGTAAATTTACCGGCTCGCCCTTAACCGGCCCTTGGCATAGATCTTTAAAACCGATTAGATTTCTCAAATAACAACTAAAACAACAGAAGAAAAATAAAAGCTGAGAACTTACTCTGAGGATCTACCCGACCAGTGTTGGATGAGGCTAGAATTAGTGTTCTCTCTCGTCTGGAGGTCAATTCTAAAAGCAACGCTCGCTATCGCTATAGAGTTTTTACATGTGGTGACCGAGCGTGATGGGTAAATAAACAGCTGATGAAATACCCGGGAAACATTAGCCAATCAGAGCGCTTTACGTAAATGGTGGCCTAAAAGATATCTGATGAATAAATACCCGGGATATACATATCTAAATCGTGAAGGAATTTAAGTCTAGTTTAGTTTCCCGGTGAGAGAAATGAGAGCAGAGAAAGCAGAAAGGTCATATTAATCGATCTACTCGACCTACAATTGGTGACAAGATGCTCTCTTTCATTTTTCAATCGAAACTTGAAGCAGGATTTTGTTTGGAAATCTGGCAGATTTCACACACTCTTACAGCTGACCAATCAATATTCTTTAACACAGAGTGTTTATCCGGAGTAAGCCCGTCACGTTATTGCATCAGCCTCGGCTCTGTTATTGTGCTACAGCCTTCTTGGTGTGATAATACTCGGCCACTTCGAGCAGAAATGCTAAAACGAAGTCTCAAATGTATCCTTTATCTTCCTAAAACTCCTTATTCTCGGCTATAACTGTTTAAATCGAGTACTCGGCTGCGAAAATTCAGTTGAACCAAAGATACTCTCACGTGAAATGCGGTAAATATTCGTACGTACACGTGACAGCAAAAACGTAGACACTCGTGTGAAGTAAACTGCAGTTGTTTCCCGCGCAAGCTGCGAGTGACTGACGTCACAGGCGGCCCAAACTCACGTTGCGAGGGAAGGGTGTAATGTAATTTACATAACATATGTGACGCGCCGGTGTCGCGTTACAGGCGACCGTTGAAAATATGTGAGACTTTGTATGGGAAATATATTACTGAGATCTGCGAACGCCAAATAACGTTAAACCTCACTTTTTCTTAAATGCAATGAATAAAAAAGTCTTACCTGCAATCTATTCCGCTGCGGTTTGGTGTCTGTTTGTCGTTTTACTGTTTTTTGGCTTTATTGCGTAACCACTGTTACTCCTTTTGACAGTAATGGTCCACGTAAGAAGTAGGCATCCGAAATCCAAAGCTGTCAACAGCTAATTATCTAATTGAATTAAAATTCTGGTCTCCGATTGGCCGAAAAGTCGAAATCGGGGCAAAAATGCCCATCAAATGATTTTTTTGGCTATTTTTGGCGCTAAATTCGGTCCCAGCATCATCAACATTGTACATGGCGAATTTCGTTACCATGGGAAATGGGGAACTGGGTCTAACCGAAGAGACGGATGGTTTGACGGTCGGCCGCCATATTGGATTGCAATTTTACTGCGGAGTTACCACGTTTGTTGTAGAATTCTTTGGTTGGATTTCTGTGGGTTTATTCAGATTATTTATTCAAACAAGTGTTATTTGCATTTTTATTGTCGATTGGAAATGAAGTCTATGATTTGTAGTTAAAAATGCCGAAAACCGCTTCGTGTTGTTGCCCACATCACAAGACGTGGGGACATTCAGACGAGGTAGAGCTTAGGGTCGCCACGGACTTTGAGGTGAAGATTTGTCAAATAGATAAAGATGGTCGGCACAAAGGTCGCAAGAAAAGGATCTGCACGTCTTGTAGAAGCCGTATCCAGTTGGAAGAGAAATGTGATAAGTTGCAGGTAAGATTTTTTTTGCATGTTGGTTATGTGTGATAAGGGAACGCCTACTGGTCTGCCAGATTGCTTTTTTTGTTCTAATACTGTATTGTCTTGTGGATTTTCACTTTCATTCGAGTTAATCGGGAGCGGCTGTTACATGTTGTTTACCTCAAGGTTTGTCGTCATTACTAGGTAAATGTTATTTGGCGAGACTGTTCAAAATTTCAATAATTTGATGTCAACAATGCCGAATGTGAACGTAAACTACAAGTTCATAATATTCTTTCTATTGGTTTATCAAAACCAGAAAACTGTCTCTGATGCCTTGGAAGGAGGGAACACTAAACACAGCAATATTGACGATTCCTTGAGAGCACTCCATGATGCATCAACCCAAACTGATCACAGCATCTATGCAGTCTCTATGCCCTCTCCATCCACACAACCTGCTAGGTCAGAACATACCAAGGAAGCTGGACCTTTGCCACCCATTCGCCCATATCAGTGTTATGGCCGTAGTAAGAGAGCCGACATAAGAGCAGAAATTATTGAACGTATTCATAGTTTGTTGGGCACGTATGTACATGGTGACAACCAGGCACTCTATGACCTGATGGACAACCTGCTACAGTCAAAGAAATGGAGAAGCACATTTGGAGATTCTAGAAAGAAGGAAGATGACAAGATCACAAGTACATTCCTCTCTTCAATCGTCCAGGAGTATCAAGAGTGCAAAAGAAAAGAAACAAACAGTGTTATCAGGAAGCAATCTAAAAAGCTTCAACAGGCTATAAAAATTTCTGGAACAAAGTCCAACAGCCACATCGCCTTGCAAGGAAACACTCCTCAGTCTTTTAAAACACGAGTTGATGCAGCCAATAGCTTAGGCAGGCTCACCACGTATTCAGCTGAAAGAAGGCGGCTCTTGTCAATTGTTGCAGCAGACTATCCACAAACATTTCTCACAGAGATTTTCAAGTGCTCAAAGAGTACAGTCACTGCTGCACGCATTCACCATATTTTATTTGGCAGAGGAGGAGTGCCACCTCAGTGCTTGAAGTTTACCCGTCAGTGTGTGTCACAGGACACTTTAGATCAATTGGCTGAGTTCCTTTTGCGTGATGACATATCACGACCTTCATCATGTAGGAGTGTTGTAATTGATGGGAAGGAATGCCCGGTACGCTACTGGCAAAGTTCAATAAAAGAGGTCATTCAGCATTACTTGTTAGAGTTCCCAGGCAATGTGAAAAGGAGTTACATCTATGCTCACATCCCAAAGAACTTCCGCAGTAATACAATGCTGGCTGGTCTGTGTAATTTGTGCGAGGACTATGGATATTCCAATTTTGCAAATTTAAAGGCATTTGTCCAGAAATTGGGTGCTGATTGTCCACAACAGGAATTTGGTGGCACTGTGAAGAAGATAACAGATCTTCAAAGATACCTCAAGACAAAATTTTCACATGAGGTACTTGCTTGTTTACCTACCTTGTTTAGTACTTTGGATGTATGCTGTGAACATGAATATTACCCAGTATTTTTATACTGAGACCAAAATTATAAAAAATGTTTTACATTTCAATCCCTTCTCACTTTTGGTAGATTGTTTTACTTTTTGGATACAGTAAGAATAACATGCTACAAGTTTACTGTCAGAAAGATACCTGCTGAATTTATGCTGTATGTGCAAATGCTCCTTCTGTTGCATTTTTAGAGTGTTTGCCAAGTCCATTTTCTGAACATACAATGTAGTCAATAGAAAGCTAAAGCAAGATTAAAATTAACTCTGTGCAGATCGATGTAAATACTATGACAGCTCTGTTGGTATACACCTAGGAAAATGTTCTAAAACATAACCTCTGTTCATATCTGACCAGTACTTACAAGTACCAAGCTCAGGGTTGTTTTTCATCTACTTCCGAGACAGGAAAGAATGATTCTATGACAAATGTCGCATTAATTGGTTGGTTAGTTATAAATTATTTTTGACAGTTTTTTCTTTGTGCTTTTATATCAAGGCACAGACTCACAGCAGCTGCTTGGAACTGTGTATGAGCCATGCATTTAGCACCTGCACACAAAGTCATGATCAGTGGTCTGCTGAATTTGGCTTGTTTTATGACATTCATTCCCTGGTGTCTGGTACTATTGCCACAGCCCCCTCAGAGAAAAAAGCAGCCTTCTCAGAGCAGTTGGAAGAAATGACAAGTACCTTCTGGGACTATGTTGGACACTTGTTGAGGACAAAGCACCAAGGTGATTACTACAGGTAAAAGACATACTTTGATCTCTTGAAGTGGGGATTTGCTTCTAAGTTATTAATTGCCAACATATTTATTTATTGTGACCATTTCATCATGAGGTACACAATATTTATGTCTTGGGCATTTTCTGACATGTTGGATCAGAAGTTTACTTGGCTGTGACTCTTCAATAATCATTATTTTTCTCTAGTCCTGTGAATGCTTGCAAACTTCTCTATGCTGGTTCCCTTTTTGCAAGAAATCATCAAACTTCTTGGACTGTTCCCTTTGCACTTTGGCATTCGTACACTACTTTGCCATCTTCAAAGTGAATATTGTTGGGATAAGTTGAAATTCTATTATTTTTTTCAGGTTCGTATTGAAGAATCTACAACCTGGTGAAGCTGTAGTCATCATAGATTATAAGATGAAACTTGAATTGGGCATGCGTTCCAGGGAGATCCAGCGGGACTGGTACGGGAAGCGTGGTATTTCCCTTCATGGCTTCTATGTGATAGCGCAAGTTGCTGTTGGTGAAAGGAGGATTGATGTGCTGGATCTTTGGTGTGAAGACACCAAGCAAGATGCCTGGTTTACCCAGTCTGCCCTTGATGTTGGCTTTGCTTGGATGGAAAAAGTGTTTCCGAACTTTCAAGTCTATTTATTTTCAGGTGCGTACATGTACATTTATGGAAACATATTTTGTTTCTTAGTTATCTTGTTTGAAATTGTTTTCTTTTAACCCAATAAACATATTGTCCTGCTTTCTTTCTGTGAAACTTTCTAATATGTTACAATTTCAATATTTTGAGTTGTTTCCAGTCTTCAGTATTTTAGAACAAATAATAATTGATGTACCAGAACTATGATTAGGTAGAACTGACCTTTGGTGTGCTCTATGCAAGTCATGTGATAAATGTATAGTCATAAAACAGCATTGCCATCATGAATGAAAATATGATTAGCACTATTCTGCTATTCCAGCAAGTTTTGAGTACCTTCCAAAAGCGTTTTCATCAATTCGGCTTTTTTGAAGGCTTATTTCTAAATGTGCCATCGCCTATTTTTTTAAGATAATGGACCACACTACCACAACTCTGCTGTCCTCATGTATCTGGCTGAGGTTAACACTGCATTTGCATTAAAGCTTGTTGAATACAACAACTTTGAAGCCGGCGAGGGGAAAACAGTTCTCGACACCCATTTTGCACATGTGTCCCACAAGTTAGTTCGTTGGGTTCGTGTTGGAAATGACTTGGAATCAGGGGAACAGTTATCAGACCTGTTGGAGGTAAGGGATGATATGGACTCTGTCGTATTTGAACATGTTGCATCTTTTGTGTAGCAATATTCATTGTGATCCTGGTCATTACTCCCCTGCCCCCCCCCACCTCCCTCCCTCCATTTTGTTCTTGTTGTTGTGCTGTGGTTATTTTTTGTTTTGGACTAGCCATGGCACTTATCTGATCAATCTCCTTTCCTTTAAAACACATGTTCATAAATTTCCTTGCATTGTATTTCAGACTATGAAGAATGTCAGGTGTAAAAAGCTACTGATTGACAGGTCAAAGGCCCCTGGAAAAGTGGGTACCCTCAAAGACATATCATTGTTTGGCAATTTCAAGTTTCCCTCTAACGGACCTTACAAGGGAGGGATAATAGCACAATCTCTCGCTGGTGTTGGGAAAGTGCTCAGCAAAACAAAAGCCCAGGTCCAGACAATTGCTCTGAGAAGTGTGCCAATAGCAGGGGCTACAGGTGCTTCAACAACAGATGATGTCTTACGATCTTCGGATGAAAGAGTGGATGGACAGGGTGATGGAGGTGATGCATACTCTGTAAAGTTTATACAGCTCAATTCAGATGACTCTGGAAATGTTAACCTGACACCAATGAACAGCAGTGTAATAGTCAATGCTGATGACAGGCCATCACCTGCATTTGCCCTAAAAAAGGGTGGAGCTAAAAAAGTCACCTTCACAAAAGAGCAGAAAGACATTATGGCTGCTTTTTATGAGAACCAGAGGACATTGCAAATCAGAGCAAATCCTGCTGATGTCATTGAAGCCATGAAGGCGGCTGGAGTTCCTACCTTAAAGGAATCACAAATAAAAAGCTGGTGGAGTACATACCATCGCAAACAAAAACAAATAGCAGAGGACTTGATGGAGGAAGCAAGACATCTACGGTCACAGCAAGGTACTATTTATCACATATAAAAATGAATTTTTGTTTTATAAGAACAGTTTTATTTGTTTATTTGTTTTTATGTAATAACAGGGATAGTATGTGTGCTCTGATTGGTCAAAAGGCTATCATTAAATTTGTTATACCAGTAAACTCCTTGAAACAGATATTTATTAAATTAAAGCAGCAAACCTTATTTATATCAGTTTACTAGTACAAAAACCCACACAGAATGTTAGGAGAACACGAGGAAAGTTTGTACCTGTGTATTGCTTAACTAATGTTCTTATTTGTTTATAATGGTACTTGTTTGTTTGCTTAAAAGGCAGAGAGACAGATGGAACTGGCAACTGTCCAGACCTAGTTGGACAAGAGAATTTACAAGAAGAAAGGGAAAGGGAAGCATCAGATTGTCCACCAGGTTCCAATGTGATCCCAACAGCAACAAACATGCCTGCCTTAGCTACTTGTGCAACAAATCCCCCACCACCCGCTTCAAGTCCACCACCACCTGGAATACTAACAGCAGGCATGATTAAAGGAAATCCCTCTTCATATGTAGCAGGTGTTGTGGAGTGGACTTTTGCTGAATCACAGTCCAGTATTCAAGGAAGAACAGGCAGCAATGCTTGTGCCTTTATAGCACTGATCATGGGGAAGATGTGGATAAATGGGGGTTTGCTTTGGCCAAGAGATGTCCTTCTTCCTGAGCCATGGAAACAATCATTATATGAAGCAATGATCAAAGGCAACAAAATTCATGATGATCTATTCGATCATCAAGCAGTTGATCTGGAGGTGGAGGATGCAGTTTCTCTGGCAGATAACGAATGTGGGGTGCAGAGTGTTGGTCAGCAAATTGACATATTTGGTCTGAATCCAGTTCATCAGTTGGCTAATTTCTTGATTCAAGAGGCTCAGAATAACAGATCAAAATCTTGTAGTGTAATAATGACGGAACGGCGTGCCATGCTTTTAGCAGTGAACTCTGATAGCTCTGCTATGATTGTTGATTCCCATAGTCATGGAAATGATGGAGCCATCATAGCATGCACTCAGCCAGGCTCTATACATCTCTTGGCTCAATGGCTGGATGCTTTGATGAATGACATCTGGCAACATTCACTAACTATAGCATCCATTACAAAAGTTGTTTACTTTTAATTACAGATAAAACAATTATTTTTAGGGTAAAAAACAGTTATGAAGGTATAGAACAAAATAATTTATTAGCCCTTTTAAAAACCCTTAGAGTGATCAGTAACAAATTTATTCCTGATATTCCAGCTTTTGAAACAGTGTTCACGAGAATTAAGGACACGATCAAAGGAAATTATGTTATTTGGAATTTGTACAAATTCTCCATACTACTTCTATAGAAAATGTATGTGGGCGGAAAAGAGAATTTAAATCTTGATCACAAGGTTTTGAGGGTTAATAGCTAATAATACTGTTCTATATCAACCCGCTATGCCTTGAAGTGCCATCAGTTGCATTCACTTTACTGTTCTCAGTTGCTTATGGTACTAGCTAGCAAGGTTTCAATCGAGGGATGTTTATAAGGTGCTTCCCATGAAGAAATTATACATGTATGTTGGAAATTGTTTGGCAATTTCTCATCTGCTTTGAGATAGGTGTTTTAGCTAAATATAAACAGTCAATACTGCCAGATCTCTTTTTTATATACCAAGAACAAGTAGCCTATTTTAAATGCCCAGAAGGAATAATTATTATTTCATCAGTATGTCTACTTTCTGGAAAATGGGCTGAAAAATGATGCCATGGACTTGAGAAAATTTTGCTTGTGACAAGACTAAATTAGAGAATAGTTGAGAAATGATAATGCTTGTAGATCTAAATACTCAGGGCTGATTCTTATAAGCGTTTTCAGCAACAGAAGGCAGTTCGAGTATGATTTACTTAACTATACTGTACTTCATTTTGCTGAAAATTTATGTCATAAACGGTGCTTTGATTTCCATCAGTAGATCAAAATCGAAACCGCTAACCAGGGAAATATAATTTGACATCACTTTTTAAATAATTTAAAAGTGGAAAGATTAAGTTAGCAATGAAATAGCATTTGCCAATTTCTCTTTTTCTTTTGGAAGCTCAATTAAGTGGTGGAATAAAACAAAAGTGCTTGTACTTTTGCATACGCTATACAAGAGGGATTTTCTAAAGAGTGACCCCTTTCCCCATAAGGCCCCACCCTCTCCGACCCCTTAATTACCCATTAGGATTTACAACAACACATTTCCACTACTGTAATCATGTTTTTATTACACTGCCATCTTCTCTTGAGTCCTTGTTATGGCCTTTAGTGATACAGAACAGAACTATAAAAACGATAATATCAAAAATAACTGGGGAATGTTTTTACCTCGTAACGCTCTCAAACATTTCACTGGCGTATTTCTCGTGTCTAATGAGTTCAAATTTACTTTATTCCCCTGCCCGTGGGTTTACATCAGCTTACAGCTCATATCCGTTGATAAAAAGAGCAATGATTGCCCGAATTTGATTATAACTTAGCAGGGTGATATCCCTAATTTCCCTCAGTGTTACACCGCTCGTACACAGGAGGTCATATACTTTTTCTAGGGATTCGTCTTCGATCTCCAGCTCTCTTATCAATCTTTCCAACAAGTCGTTTTTGTCTGTGCCTCTGGCAATCATGTCAATCACGTAAACTTGTGCTGTTGCCTCCGCGACTCCAGCAGTTCTAGCGATTTCAGAAAAGCTCTCGCCCTCCAGCCATCTCGCGAATGCATTTTGTTTCTTCGGAAACGTTGCTATTTTCCCATATAGGCTGCGCAACCCACTGACCTGTTCGAGGATAAAAATACAAAAATTATTCACTGTAATCTTTTCCAAGACAGGAGCAAACATCTTTCTTTTGCGTGCACTGTATATTACCATTGATGCAGAGTCTCGATAAGTTATAATCGTCATAACGAAGCGCTGTGTTACGGCCGACTTACCGAGATATTCTTGCCACGTTTTGAGCCTCGTTGACTGTGATTCCCATCTTGGCTTGCACTAGCTCTTTTTCTGTTGGAAAGCAGTGAACAAGTGAGTAAAAATGTGAGAGGAGAATCGCAATAAAAAGAGTAAAGTCAATCACACTCACCTTTGTTCCATTTCAGAATATAGACAACTTGAAATTTTTGAAAAGTGTGCGCACGTGGGCCAGATCAGTTAGTTTCAATCACGAGGTAAATCAAAAGAAGCACTGTTTTTCTAACTTGGTATGAATCTAACTCTTTTCACACTCTCCTATTGAGATGACGACCAAATTCTGCCATATATGGACTGCGATTTTCACACGTAAAGATAGAAAACAAAAGAGCAGGGTTCTGGAAAGGTGAGAAAAACTTGCTGCCGAACTAAAATCAGTGAAAGGCTGCTGTATGCAGAAATGGATATTTCTCCCGTGATCTTGATTTATGTGTTTCGGTTTCTGGACCTTAGCGATTTGGCTAGGGCCGCTGGAACTTGTTTTGTGTGGTGGAATGTCATCAAGAGGTATCGCCTGATGGAAAACGATTGGGAAGAACTGGATCTGTCGGGAACAGGAAAGCTATATTGTTGTATACCACGGAAAGCATTCAGATCACTCAGATACTTAAATCTGGCCTCGACGCAGTTGTCAAGTCGCCATTTGCAACAGGTGATGATGACTGCTACATATTTGGAACGTCTGGATATCTCCAATTGTCCCAAACTGGACCAAATTGCCATTTTCAAAGCCAAGGAACACATGCAAGAACTACTACACATCGCCATTTCCGGTAATAGGCAATTCACGATTCTGGTTATTGCGTGTTTGTGCTCCTGTCCAGAGCTCGTAACAATTGAGGCACATGGACTAGAGTTCAGTGCAGAAGAGCTATTATTTCTTTCGAAAACCTTTGAGTCTGCAAGAAGCGGCAGTTTACAAATAGAAACGGATGAAGGCTACGATGCTTTGTGTATAACGAATATCTTCGAACGTGAACTTTTTGAATAAGAACGATTATTTTCAAGCGTAATTGTAACAAGAATCTTTCCTTTCATAGCTTAGTTGTCTTCCTTTTTTTATAAGGAAATTGAACATGTTTAGGTTTCTGTTTGATTGGAGCGGATGACCGACACGCGCTTGTTGTTAGATGAGTGACGAAGAACAATGAGAACAACAAACCACGAAGTGTCGTATTACTCTTAGCGCTATTGTTGAAGAAGTGAGATGTGGAAAAACAGTCTTCCCCATTTCGTAATATCTTGTCCTTTGAATTACATATAGTTTTCAACATTTTCAATAAATATATAGTGTTAAAGCTTTGGAAAATGTGATTTTCGCTATATTTTTTATGAATACAAATTCAAATTTCGCGCATAAACTGTAATCACCCAATCAGGATTCAGGATTTTTATTTGATTAAAAGATTAACACCATGACGCTCAACGGCGGCTTTTGGATCAGGCCCATTGATTTCTGCCTACTTCTTATGTGGACCATTACAAGAAAGGAGTAACAGTGGTTACGCAATAAAGCCAAAAAACAGTAAAACGACAAACAGACACCAAACCGCAGCGGAATAGATTGCAGGTAAGACTTTTTTATTCATTTCATTTAAGAAAAAGTAAGGTTTAACGTTATTTGACGTTCGCAGATCTCAGTAATATATTTCCCATACAAAGTCTCACATATTTTCAACGGTCGCCTGTAACGCGACACCGGCGCGTCACATATGTTATGTAAATTACATTACACCCTTCCCTCGCAACGTGAGTTTGGGCCGCCTGTGCTGACGTCAACAAAAAGTGACCAATTAGAATTAGTGGGTCGACGACCTTTGGAACCTAGAGATGAACCGGATATTTTGGCATGTGGTGTACATCAGCTGAAGAAGAAAACATTCGTTTCTTACATTTAAAAGTTCTTAAAGGAATGATTGCGAATTGTTTATTAATAAACACACTCCCAAGTGAAGTTATGCCGTTTTTTTCGGTAACACTTGACCGAAACCGGAAAACGCGCATGAAAGGTCTCTAGCACCAAGGATGGATAGTGTATAAAGTGTGTAAGGTAAAAATTGCAGGAATTGACTGATCGCTAGAAAGAGACAAGTAAAGGTGTTATTTTCGATGAGACGATTTTCGGTTGACTGGATATGTTTGGTTTGTTTCGGTTATGTGGCGTTGGTATCTTGCGTGGGGGTTGGTTAGGGGTTGTTTTGATGCTAACAAGAACCATTAGTAGCTATGAAGATTCTATGAATAAAGCTATAACGGAAGGCCTACTCTCCCAAAGTTGCCTCAAGTCGTTTTTAGACTATTTAGAAAAAAATCGCATATCTTTACCTGGAAATTACTTTAAGTAGCCTTATAAAAGGCGTCTTACGATCCCGCCAGAGTATGCTTACAATTGAAAGTCTAGCTTACAGGAACCGTTGCTGAACTTCAATAATGCATGACTGTTACTATTTACATATGTTATGTGTTCCTGTAATTACCTACACGTAGCTGAGATATGCTGAATACCGGCAATCAACGCTTGGTCCCTTCTGTGCCGGATATCTTTCTATGCGGCCGATGTCCATCTTACGTAGCGATGTCAGAGACCTATGGTATAGCTCGTTCCTGATTTTTTTTTAACAAGTAAATCTCGAGAACACCGATAATAGTATTTTTGGAGGAGATCCACGCGCGCGAGAGTAGCCCCATACCTCCGAAAATGTGGTAATCTACCTATCCGAGAAATTTTGGTAATCACGTGACCGTCCGCCCGTCCGTCCGCACCACAGGCATACCAATATAAAACAACTCAATCAAAAGGTATGATAACCCAAATGCAACACGAGGTTATTTTGGCGGGAAATCGCATAGTCACCCGTGTCTTGTTGAAACAGAGACACCCAAAGAGTCAATAAAGAAGAAAACGGAAAGTGGAAATTGTTTCTGTATCCGTGTTGTCAAAAGTATTAAGCGAAGAGTAATTGTCATGTCCACAAATGCGGAATATAGAGAAAGAGAAAGACAGAAAAAAAGAGGAAATAGGCGACATAGGGCCAGCGAAGCTCAACGACAAAAAGAGCGACAGATAAGGAGCCATTTTTTGTTGGAAGAACAAAATGAATTTGTGGCGGCGGTGGGAAAATGAGAAATGCTAGCTGCCACCCAGGAAAAAATGAGAGGCAGTGAAGAACATGTACGACCGTTCCTCCATAAAACTTGTAACCAGGAGGTTTCTGGACGTATCACATTGCAGTCGTGCAAAACAACGGCAAAGAAATAAACAAAAAAAATGTGCTGCACGTGCAAAGTTGTTTCTTTGCTAATTAGACCTATTGTTGTTTTTTCACCTTTTCGTTGCCTCCGCCGCTTAACATTACACGATTTTATATTTAGTTTGAGCAAACTATAAATATTATCGATAGCTTCTGGCTAAATCTGTATATTATATTATTAAAATTAGCGGGGCGTGCAAAAGAACTCAAGCATGCACCACATCTGTCAAAATATTGTGAAATCCAGATATAAAGACTCCGATAAACGAAATTCCGGTGTAAAGAATGACATTCTACCCCGTTACTAAGTCTCCCTGTTTCAGTGTGGATCAGCATTTGGCTTCCGAAACTTTGCAACTGATTTGAGGCCGCGTATCGGTTTGTCCGAAGGTGGTTCCAACCATTACAATAACAATGTTCTCACTAATCGATGTAACGATCTGCCAATTTTTTTCTCCGTCGTGAACCCGTTTATGTTGACCCCAGATAGTCCAGCAAAAAAGTCGCGCTGATGTTTTTCCTTTTAATTTTACCCAATTAAAGTTCTTCAGTTTTCTATCCCGGTGTCTATTTTAAGTTAACCTAACACTTATTCAGTGGTGAAGCACCCCCTGTAATATCAATTTGCACCCGTGGAAAGAAAAACAGACAAACCGTAAGAAATGGTCAATTTCAAGGTATGTATCCGACACTATTTAGTTACTAACTAGATCATTCCACTGTTATTCTATCGGCTGATAAAAAAATGTTCTAGATTTAAACGTTCCATTCTAAATCCTTTGTTGTAACATAATAGGGATAATTTAATTCACCGATTTATCTTTTGTTTGGCCAGAAACCTGCTAACAATTACCTAAAAAAATAAACCTCGATAGGTCAAGTATGATTATCACAGCAGTGAATTCAATCACGACATCCAAGTAAATTTCAGAAAGCTTTATTTTCTATAAGTTTCTTAACATATTTTTTTAAGAAAATTGTGTATAATTTTTTTTAATGGCTCGGGAGTAGGATAAGATGGGGGCAGAGAAAAGGTCCTAAAATTGAGTGCTCTTCTGTTTACCGATTCTCATAATACAACGATAACTTCTTCAAAAATATAAATAACCCTAAATAGTTAACGAAAGTAAGGTAGACAGTCTTAGGCTAGTCTAACATTCTACAATAAAATAAAACCAAAAAAAGTCGCTAAATATTTTTACTGTGCGCCTTTAAGCCTTAACTGAGTCAACAATCCAGTCAGTGATCTACTACTGGCCAGCAGATTGTGGCTCACTCATAACCAAGGTAACGAGATCTTTATAGGGGACAGTCTCCTTCTTCTTGTCTTCAATGTCCTTGACGAGCAATTCCACTTCATCTTCTGTCAGTCTTGAGTCCCCCTTCATGCACAGAAAGCCTCGCAGTTGAAACGAGTCAACAGTTCCACTTTTTTCGTTGTCGAAAATGCTGAAGAACTCGAGAAAATCTTCCATAACAGGTTGGGGCTTGGCTTTGATTTCTTTGTAAATCGCGTGGAATTCGGCCATTTCGACTTTTCCCTTGTCTTTGTAGTCTGCTTCAAGCTTTTGTAAATCTGTTCCTTGAGGATTCAAACCGGCGGAGCGCAGGACATCTTTAATCTGGCTGACCTCTATGGTTCCGTCTCCGGTTCGATCGAAAAGGACGAACACTTCTTCAAGTTCTTCTTTATCCATTTTCGCTTTTAGTAATGACCCGTTAGAACCGAAAGTTATTTTGCAACTTGTCTAGCGCAACAACCGGTTATCGATGTAAACTCCACTCGGTTTCTTAACAAAGTAAAATGTTCCTACAGCGAGAAAGTCATATAAAACCTCAGCCCAGTTTGTCTGGCCTGCCACCCTCTGTGTAAAATTACAAATGGGTCAATGAAAAAACTCATGAAGCACTATGGCGCATTGAGACAATGTTATTTTAACAAATCTGGTTCGTGATGTGATTGACGCTATATCAGCAAAAGGTTGTCGAATACTTTCAAAGAACGAGAAAAATGGAGCTTAATGTTATAGCACAATTAAAGTACGCAAAATAAAAGCCACTGTTTAGCTATTTCGAGACACTTTAAGTGAGTTTCTACTTTATCTTAGGTTTGCATGATCAAGTATAAAACGCCCTTTCTAAACAGCACGTCATATACCCCATGGTGTTTCTCTTGGATTCAAATCGCAACAAAAACATAGTGAATCACTGCTCTTACTTTTGGGTGGAAAGGATGGGTTTGAAGGTCAAACGATGAACTATTTTTTATTCCGAGATCGTTGGAAATGTAAACAGATTGAGATCAGGAAGAGTTACAGACCAACCACGCTTCACGAGCAAGCACCTGAGATGGTAATTTATGCGTGAAATTAGGCATAACTGATCTTCAAAAAATAGACCGACCATGAACTGGAACTAATATCCCGCTCATTAATCGTTGGCACATTTGACACTAGACGAGCAGGGAGAACCTTATTTCCTTCACAACGTTGCCAAAAACCTGGACATTTCAACAACAACCTTGAATAGGGCTACTCCCTTAAAAAAAAACAAACTGTAGAGTCATGCAGTTACTATGCGTAGCGTGAGATTTTTTAGGTGTACTACGGAAGAAAATTGGAGCGGCAAAGGCGTTCCAAATTAGGAGGGTCTGGGCGTATACTGCCCCAGAAAACGTTTACATATATACATTCAAGGTCTCGAAAATGCCACTTCCCGTGTTTTTCTTAGTTGTTTCATTCACCCATCTCTAGTACTATGGGTACAGTGTTTACGGAAAAAGGGATAGAACAGTGACGGCATCAAGGAGGTTACAAGCAAAGGGCGAGACTTCTACCCTTCAGACGGGCAAACTCTGTGACAACGCCACCAACTTCAACGACCTTGTGCTTCTGTAGTGCAGAATTGAAAGAGAGCTGAGTCTCCCGTTTGTCACCGGCCTGGGTTAAGCGCTAATCGAACAACTGGGCCCAGGCTGATAAATTTGCCTATTCTCAACACCTATCTGTTGGACGACGTATTGGATATTCTAAGGTGAAGTTACATGCGTATCACCTCCGGGAGCTTTAGGCACGTAAAATTTGAGAATAGGCTTTTCTGCATTATGTTTTCTGAAAGCCATCCATAAAAATGCATTTTATGGTCATGATCTATGTTAAATAGAATTTTCTTGCTTGTATACCAAACCTCAGCCTCTTCGCTCTATTTCAGTCCTCAATGGTCAAAATGTCTCTCCCAATGTTAGCCAAAAATATGCTTTAAAAAAACATAACGACTTTGACGACGCGCATAACAAGAGTGTAGCCTCCATACTGACGCGCTTACGGCAGTTCATACGGCTGAAATCTGGACAAACGGGAGACTCAGCTCTCTTTCAATTCTGCACTACAGAAGCACAAGGTCGTTGAAGTTGGTGGCGTTGTCACAGAGTTTGCCCGTCTGAAGGGTAGAAGTCTCGCCCTTTGCTTGTAACCTCCTTGATGCCGATAACGATTCTTGCCGTCCGTTTATGGAATAATAAAAGGATCCTTGAAAGGAAATAGTAAAACAAAGACACCAATATAATGCGAAAAATTTACCAGTTATCCCGATTTAAGGACAGAAATGCTATCAGGAAATTTTTCCAGATTTCAGCCGTATGAACTGGCGTAAGCGCGTCAGTATGGAGGTTAAACTCTTGTTATGCGCGTCCTCAAAGTCGTTATGTGTTTTTAAAGCATATTTTTGGCTAACATTGGGAGAGACATTTTGACCATTGAGGACTGAAATAGAGCGAAGAGGCTGAGGTTTGGTATACAAGCAAGAAAATTCTATTTAACATAGATCATGACCATAAAATGCATTTTTATGGATGGCTTTCAGAAAACATAATGCAGAAAAAGCCTATTCTCAAATTTTACGTGCCTTAAGCTCCCGGAGGTGATAGGCATGTAACTTCACCTTAGAATATCCAATACATCGTCCAACAGATAGGTGTTGAGAATAGGCAAATTTATCAGCCTGGGCCCAGTTGTTCGATTAGCGCTTAACCCAGGCCAGGGTTAAATTCAACCGGGGTTTCTTTTTCTTTTGCTCAAAGACAGTTACTCGAATAATTTTCTCTGTTATTTTTAAGAGCATCCAATCATCACTTTGTTGACAAAAAGGACTAAATTTGAATTTACTTTTTAAACTCAGTTTCATAGCTGAATTCAAATTTCGCACTAACCCTGGATTTTCTTAACCCAACTTTGAACAACCCCGGCCCAGAGAATATTATATTGAAATAACCCCAAATTCTCTCATTTAACATGCAATAAAATCTATAGCAGTTACAAAAGAGAATTACTTATCAAGATCTCAAATGTTAATGAGTTAAGCCTTTAAAACCTAATATCAACATACATATTCTCGAAACTCTAATGGAGAGAATTTATTCAACAGTCAACATATTTTCACAACTTTAGTCATATCTCCATTATGCTTGAATAAGCAATGTTATGTTCATGAGAAATTATTGACAAGGGTTAAAGAGGAGCCGGTCATTTGTCTTACGATTCTAAGCCATCTGAGTAACGTTGGTAAGTCATTTCCAGATGTTTTCAATATCTTCTGATTTCCAAATCGGTTGATCACGGAGCTGATGAGACCACCTTGACATTTGGGGCTCCATATTGGGCTTTATAAAATTGTGCGCAACATTTCAACGAAATGCCGAAGTTCGGAGTAATTTTATTTTCTATTCATTCATCTGCTAAAGTAACAACTGAATTTCTTTTGTATTTTATTGTTAGGTTATTTTTTTACAGTTTATATAGTAGTTATCATATATTTATAGATAATTTTTAGTTCCATTGTAAAGTAAGTCACATTTTAGCGGTCCAGGGGGCTGCAATGATTTTACTTCTTAATAAAGCTATCTAGTCTCGACTTTTTCCCTTCGCTTTTCCACCTTCCCTCATCTTTCGCTTTTTGGAATGATATTGCATTGATAATAAATATAATAAGTTTAGTGTCCAAGGCCACAAGAAGTACAAGTTTCACAATTATTCGATTAAGTCTTACTGAGATACTGAAAATAGCATTTACTTGAGCAGAGTCTAGAAGCAAGAAATTATCATTTTGGCCCTTTTTAAAACTAGAAACGAACACCTAATGAATTGTTGTCAATGCCAACGCTTCGCGTTAAATCAGTTATATTAAGACATAACTCTGTGACTAATCGCGTCAGTTTAGTATTCTTTGCCCAAACTATCAGCAGAGCAACCGACACTTTTTAAACGCTAAATCCCCCAATTAGCAAGAAAGAAGGCGTATCTTAAGTATCTCCATAGATTTCCTCGCGGGGGGGGTACTCCTGGAAATTCTTGGTGGCGGTGTGCCGCTTGGTTCTCCAAATCTTGACCCTGTTTTAGACACAAAATATTATTTTCCACACCTGTTTTCAGACCTGGTTCTAAACTCCATGCCCGTTTTCAGACCTGACGAAAAATGGGGGACTACTCGTAGTCTACTATCCTGTTTGCACATTATATTAAGAAACTATCAATTAATGTACGTTACATGTGACTTGCTAAAAGCATAAATAAATGGGTGGAGGGGATGGCTGTGAGGGGAGGGATAAGTCAGTTATCAGGACTAATTTGTGAAGAATTGTTATTCACTTGGTTAGGGAAATTTTACATTTGTCAGGGAAAAGTCAGGCAATTTCAAAAACCTCTGGCTGTGGCAGCCATGATACCCTTTGGGGCGGCACATAACTGTATGGTTTATATAAGGAGGGAACCCTCGGGACAGATTTATTGTAGCAGTAGTTTTTTATATACTATCATGAATCATTAGTTTTTTCGAATGAACGCCACTCAGTTTCCAGCGTACTCTAAATTATAAAACACAAAATCATATTCTAAAAAAAACTCTATTTGTCTCATACCGGTACGTGTTTTTGTTAATTCTTGTAAACGTGTTGCAAAGTGAAGACAAAATATGAGTTTAGTTTATGATGAGCTGCAATCAGGCCTGTCTTAGCAGCTGTACCCACCCCGGGGGTGAATACGAAAATATGTCCTGATCATTTCTATAACTTTAGTAACTCCAAGGCAATGAAGACTTAAAACAAAAAGTAAAGAGCGAAGTCATTTTGTGCTTGGAAATGTATTTCGAAAGCTTAACTAACGTACAAGTAATAGGAAATAGTATTTAGCACTTTTTGGGCTTGCTACCCAATAGAATGTTGAGTAACAAAGACTATTGTACAGACTTCTCACGGTTGAAACGCATTGAAATACTAAAAGTAATACTTTGGAGTGACGCTTTTTTCACTTTTTTCCTTTGCATTTTATAGGCTTAACAGGGTAGACTTCTTGGAGGAAAAGGTGAACACCGACTCGATAGAATTCGCTTTCACGGCAGTCACTGAATCAGTGTATAGCTTTGTATATTGATGTTTCTGAGGATGTTATACAAATACAATCGTTCAAGAAATGAAAAAGCTTTAGTCACTTTGATAATTTATTAAAATTCAGCAATTACATGCAAGACGGAAAACAAACGTTTTTGAACAAAAGTAGTAGTGAACGAATGGAAATCTTGAAAGTCTTGGACGCAAACACAACTATAGGAGTCAAACTTTAAACAGTAAATTGCCGACTTTCCATTTAAGTTACTCATGAAGTTTTCCAAACTAGGATATGTTTATTGTGTCGTAGTCTTGAGCCCGACTTGCATAATTACACTTGTAATGTGAACAAAAGCTAACAAACTATAGTGAGTCGAATTCCATTGTTCCTAGGAAGCTACTTTGCTTACGCTAAATGTCCTAAATGTTACAACTGTACAAACGTAGCACCAAAAATTGATTATCTGTATTTCTTTTAACGATGAGCAACACAAACTTGAAATCGCAAGAATTTGCCGGTTCCATCGAGTTTCATCACACCGGCAGATACTTATAGCAACGACACACCTAGTTCATTAGATTCTTTTGAAGAGCAGTTAATCCTGCAAATTGTTCCTTTCGTGATTTCCACTCTAGTTTGCAGGGTTATTTGACATAACCTCATAAACAAGTTTCTCGTAGTCCACATATCCTTTCTTCTCGAACAAACCTACGATCGCATTGGCCTGTTCTTCCGTTAATCGGTCCCCTAAGGCGGTTAACATGCGACGAAGCTCCGCGGCGCTAATCTTGCCATTGAGATCGCGATCAAAATTTCTCAGCGCCTGGATGAATTCCTCCGGGCTGCCTGTCTGCTTCTTGGCGAGCGAAACATAGACAGATAAAAAGACTTCGAACTCTATTCTCTTATCCTTGCGTGACTTGAGAGTCTCCATCACCCTTTCGACGTCGTGTTTTGTTGGATTCAACCCGACCGATCTCAAAATGTTTGGTACCTGAGCTTTTTCCACTTTACCATCGCCCACTTGATCGAACAAGCTGAACGCATCCTTGAACTCCACCATCTGTTCCTCCGTTAGGTCCGTCATATTTTTTTAAAAGACCAATGCTGATATTATTCCCTAGCGAAGATGTGCTTGGTTGTCCAGGCATTCACAAGTTTATTTTAATTATTCTTTTGCTAGAGGAGAGATATTCGAGATTTCTGGTCAGCGGACTTGCCCATGGTGGCGCAATCAAGTTGTGTAAAACACCAGGGAGGCAGACAATCGCAACTTTCTTTGCTCCTAGGGGGCGGGCTAGGGGGCTTCTAAGCAACGACGTTTTTGAGCGACGCACGTCAACCGGAAGTGAACTTATTCTCTTTTAATATGCCTTGTCGCTTCCAAATTTGTATTCCTAAGAGTCTTTTCTCTTATAGAGACCATTTGCCCAAAAATTTGTTTAAAATCATCGTTCAAGAGTGCAAAAAGTCCGGTTGACACGCGTCCCTCAAAATGGTCGCTGCTTTTTAGACATCATCAACCAACAACCGTTGTTCCAAAAAAATGGGAAATACTGTGTAATGCACCATCCACGGAGAACCCCTAGAAGCTGTTGATCACCACAAATTCCTTGGAGTTGAGCTATCCAGTGATCTAAATTGCTAGGATCATGGCAAACGGCCAACAGATCCCTTGACGTTATAAGAAGAAACTTAAGTAGTGTCCAGAAAAAGTAAAATAGCAAGCCTATCTTACTTTAGTTAGACCACAACTTGAATACGTGGATGTTGCGCATGGGATCCGCACATTCAAAAACAGATAAAGGACATTGAGAGTGCGCGTGCGCAGAGACGATCGGCACGTTTTTCAAAAAATGAATGTAGCACAACTCCTGGAACTATTACGAAAATTTTGAATGATTTGATATTGCCAATACTCGGGAAGTTTCTTAAGGTTTATCATTTGCATGTAGTTCTGATCGCAATCCGTTACGCTAAAAAAAGGAACAAATATGTAAATCATTATTATACTTCACAGGTGTTTTCAATACATTAGATTCTCATCATTTTTTTTACGAGAACCAAAAAAAAATAATGTGTCATCTATATTCACCCATGCGCAAATAACCCCAAAATGATTTTTGAAATTTCCTAACGGCATCCGAGTTTCGAGCAAGTCTCTCCTGAACGATCATGGCTCGCTTGTCTTTAACGATACCTGATGAAAGTTACTGCTGCTGGAACGATTCGCTCTATTGCAAGGTGCATGGTATAACATTAGAACTGTACCAACAACACAGTGAAGACATTCAACTCGCGAATCAATATGGAACTGATTTGAAAGTGTGAGTGCTACAGCTATTGCTATATCTCTTGCCTTTCTCTTGTCTAAACGAATTGTCAAAGAACTGCCAAGTGCACACTATTTAGACTGTGAACTTCTTTCTCAACTGAAACCTTTCAGAGTGTTATATTTTAATCGACAGTTGTATGTTTTTCCTTTTTCTTTTCCCTCAGTTTTGGGAAGTAACATTCAGTGCATGGTTGAGTGATGAGGAACTGATAACTCTCTTCGTTACGAAGAGAGTTATCAGCTTATGGTAGAAAAACAGCAAGAGATTTGTAGAGGTAACTATCCAAGTAAAAAGTCACCTTAACCAGGACAATCGTAAACTGACAGAAGGAAAACTGAAATGGTTTTAATATGGTGATAGAAAACTTGTCAGTTTTTTTGTAGGATACCTGAGGTCACTATAACTTAGTTATGTTAGACCCAGTAACGAGTTGAGGTATGATAGATTTTCTCCGGACAATATTTGCTCCTGAGCGATTTTACATTTGGCAATAGTACTAATTAGTTTTACTAGCATCATCCCCATGAGCAAATAGACTGCTTTATATAAAGTTGTTATTACCTATATATTTACTTCAATGTTTTTTTGAAAGTTAAACACATAAGAGCAAAATAGGACATGGGTGTTAGAGAATAAAGAGCAGAAATTATATTGTGACAAGTTCTCTTCTTAGTCTGCAACCATTTGCTTAAATGAAAATCATTTCGTTTTCGTTGGAGAGTCGTCCAAATTTGTATTTACCTTTGTACTGTTTGGTTCAGTATCATCCCTTCAAATCAATTCTCTCCTTTTCAAAGTTCATGTCTCGGACAAATGAAGCATTTAGAGGGCACTCAGGCCCGCGGACAGAATTTTTAAGATATTTGGATTCTCTCCCGGGGAATATTCCCTTGAATACACTGTAAGCCACATAGGTATGTACCACCCCAAAGGATATGATTTTTGCGCTTTTTCGGTCTAAAAGCGGGTATACACTTTGCTCATTTTGGTTTGGAATTGGGTATGGTTTTCGAGGGAAAAAACGCCGTGTAAGAACGTATTTGTCGTTTCAATTCCAAATTAATGAATAAGAAAGAAAAAGAAATATTTGCTTATTCTTTGACATAATTTCTGCCTAGAGGCCAGGACTAAAAAAAGCGTGGAAATGTCATTTGTTTGGTCTGAAATAAGGCAAGGAGTTAAAGAACAGGGCGGCTCGAACCCCCACCAAGAAATCCCAGGAACACCCCCACTAAGAGATTTTCTTCAAGTAGTAAATAATGCAAAAAACGGTCATGGTTTACATACTAGGGCTATATGAGAAAAACGTGCGGACCGAAAACAAAATGATTCTAAAACGCAAGTGAATGCTGTTACAACACCTCCGGCTCCGGCCCTTAGCTTAACACCATCTTTCTATTTCCTTGCACTTCTTACAACTTACTTCAATGAATTTACGACTGTATATCTTTCTCAGTCTAACACATAAGACAAAAACAAATTTCCTCGCTTTGAGTTAGATAATACACTAAAGGTTAGGAATTATGTATTAGCTAAGGAAACACGGATTGTGTTAGGTAATCACTGATTTCAAAAACCTATTACGATAAAATTTTGGCTGCCAGATAAAGAGTATTTCAACAAATCGTATCCGACTTTTTCTTTAAAGAGTTCTTTGTTACATGTATGCTTTAACTATTGTTTTTGTCTTGTTCACTCAGGTAGGCGAACAATCTAACAGAAGTACAGTCATTAATTGTTAAGTGCGGACCCAACTAAATTGGACGATTTTTAAAACGGTAAGTATTTGTAACAACTCCGATCCCGATCTTTTGTTAGTGACTTTGTGAACTGACTACTCAAAAGTTCAGACTACAAACTTTGCAAAATGGTAACTCTTTTCGTCGTTACTTTTTACGCAGTCATCCAGGCGAACTCAAAATCAGTCAAAATCGCTGAAAATACCTTTTTGAAGGCAAAAAGACAACAATATACATTAGGTAAGGTACTACACTGTTTATTTAACATTAATCTACATACATAGTTGGCGATATATTGCTACTGTAGCTTACTGTAAAGATGAATTAGAAGCAAACTCATTTACCAACAAGCAGATTATGTGGGGAACCTGTGGTATAAACCACGAAGGAATCCTCGTCCCAGGGTCTACTGGCTTTCCCGGCCAATATGGCGGCGTGGAGCTGTTAGTTTCAATCTTCCATCGCTCACAGAGTCAGTCAGTGTAGCAGTGCAAACCTAATTTAAGCTTAATAGTACCTAAAAAAAATTCAAGAAAGGACTCTGCAATACAAAAACCAAAATACCAAAGAAGTCAATAGAATTAGAAGGTCAGGACAGACATGAAGGTATATATTTACATGTACAGGGGGCACCCAACGACGATTTCCTCCTAATTGCGTTGAAATTATGAAAGAATTCTCCTTATCGAGTCGATGGCTAGGATGTCAAAGTAGGTGGTGATTTCAGGCTTTATCTTTCGCACCTTTCTGTAGTTCCCCAAATAGCAGGCGGCTGAAAACTCGAAGACTGTAGCCAGTTTTTAGCCAGCTGCCGGCACTTAATGAGAACCTTGTAGACTACAGTACTTTTAAATCTCTAGAAGTGCATTCCAAGCGGGGCCGGGGCGGATCCAGGATTTTTTTTAGGAGGGGGTGCACTCGTCTCTTGCTCTACTTCAACACCAATAAACCACATAGTTCTTTTTTTTTTTGCAGAATACCAGTTGTATTAGAAAACCGCAGGTCATCTCAGGGAGGGGTGCGCACCCCCTGCACCCTCCCCCTAGATCCGCCCCTGCGGGGCTATAAAATTTGTATCTGTTTGGTCATCCTAGGGGAACTTGAGGCCTTTCGAAATTACAAGGGCTTCAGTTTTATTTTCCTGAAAGTATGAGACCGTAAGTTAATTAAATTCATTTCTTTATCACCTGGCCTAGAGATATGCCAAGAGATCAGAGACACAATTTAAAAGATTTGACCAACAAGAAATGAGAAAGGTAAATACAATATTAAAATAATTTTATTATATTTATATAGATTAAGCAGTCTAGCAACACAGTGTAGAAGATACCAGAATTCATGGTCAAAACAAACTACACTGTAAAATTCAAACTGCATGATAAATGGCATACTGAAGACATAATGCTGCCCCTCTCAAACGACTCAAACATGCAAAGGAATAATCCAGTTTTAAACCTGTGAGAGCAACAATTAGGATGCAAGGGCATTATGTTTGAGGCCCTATGATATATTCTAACTTTTACATAAAAGCTTTGATTAAACAATATATACTTAGGTCAACCCAGGGATTCCAACCCAGCAAAGAAATGGGATACAGATTCTCCCTGAACTATTACATCCAAAGTCTGATATTTATATGAGGACATATACATCAGCTCAACTGTTATTCACACTCAGCAAAGAAATGGGAGGCAGTAGCTTTCTGAACAATTGAATACAAACTTTAATTAGTTTTATGGGCATTATCCCAATAAGCAAATAGACTAATATGAGACATGGGTGTTACAGGATAAAAAGTAGAAATTGTATTGAGACAAATTCTCTTCTTAGCCTGCATCCACCTACTTAAGTGAAAATTATTCCCATTTTCACTTACGGAGGGAGTATTCCCCCTTATATAAGCCAACTAGGTATGTGCCACCCCAAAGGGTATGGTTTTTGCACCTTTTTGTCCTAAAAGCAGTCAGAACTTGGAAAACCGGGCAGCAGTCACCCCTACCAAGAACCCCCAAGATCACCCCCGCTAGGGACTTCAGTCACTTTCGGGTGGTAAATAACAGAAATAAGCGGCAAGGGTTTAACTACTAGGGCTACGCGTGAATCGCCGAGAGAGAGACTTACCTTCCATTTTTATTGGGTACTTTCTTTTGCTCTGCACGTAGGCTTAGTTTACTCTTTTTTGGTAACTCAATCTAAGAGAAGTGCAGGTACATTAAAGTTGTTTAAAACGTGCGAGCCCCCAAAACAAAATGATTTAAAAAATCTTAATTATGTGCTAGTAATTTTCCTCGCTTTAAATTAGATAATGCAATCATGGTTAGGGATATTATGTACTAGCTAAGGCTAGGGAACCTAACATGTGATAGGTAATCACTGATTTCAAAAACCTATCACAATAAAATTTTGACTGCCAGATAAAGAGTATTTCAACAAATCGTATCTGACTTCATTATTTTGTTATGCTTTAACTAATTTTTTTTTTTATCTTCTTCACTCATGTAGGTAACAATCTAATAACAATCTAACAGAAGTACAGACATTAATTGTTCAGTGGTGACCCAACTAAACCAGGATATTTTCAAAACGGTAAGAGCTTGGAGCTTGTAACAACCCCAATCCCGATCTTTATTTAATGACTTAATAAATTATGTCTCCCAAGGATCTTCCTTGAAGTATTAGAATACATGAAAATTCCAATATTTATAAAAAAGCAATGTACATCTATACATCAACTGGGATTCCAACTCAGCGAAAATGGGAGACAGGTGCTCCCTAAACTATGACATAATACATAATATTTATATAAAGTTAATGAACTCTCCCTATTGACAGTGGTTCTCCATAAAGGTTCTATACCAGATAACACTCTGAAAACACAAAGAAAGTAATGCTACTCCCTGGACTGATACCTTAGTCTACGATAGATGGGACTTTCTATTTTTAACTTACTATTTTAAAAAAACTAGATAACCTGGGATTTCCAACCCAGAAAGCAACGGAGACAGGAGCTCCCTGGACTGATGCTTCATTCTATCATAGTTATTACTTACTATTCAAACTAGATAAACTGGGATTCCAACCCAGCAAGCAAGGGAGACAGCAGCTCCCTGAACTGATACTTCAGTCAATAATAGATGAAACTTACTTCTAAAATTAGATAAAAAGGGATTCCAGCCCAGCAAGCAAGGGAGACAGTAGCTCCCTGGACTGATAAGTCAGTCAATAATAGATGAAACTTACTATTAAAACTAGATATAGTTGGATTCCAACCCAGCAAGCAAGGGAGACAGGAGCTCCCTGGACTGATACTTCAGTAAATAATAGATGAAACTTAGTATTAAAACTAGATAAACTGGGATTCCAACCCAGCAAGCAAGGGAGACAGCAGCTTCCTGGACTGATACTTCAGTCAATAATAGATGAAAGTTACTATTAAAACTAGATAAAGTTGGATTCCAACCCAGCAAGCGAAGAAGACAGGAGTTCCCTGGACTGATACTTCAATGAATGATACATGAAACTTACTATTAAAAGTAGATAAACTGGGATTTAAGCTCAGCAAGTGAGGGAGACAGGAGCTCCCTGGACTGAAACTTCAGTCTGTGATAGGTATTACTTACTATTAAAATTGGATAAACTGGGATTCCAACCCAGCAAGCAAGGGAAACAGGAGCTCCCTGGACTGATACTTCAGTCAATAATAGATGAAACTTACTATTAAAACTAGATAAACTGGGATTCCAACCCAGAAAGCAAGGGAGACAGGAGCTCCCGGACTGATACTTCAGTCAATAGTAGATAAAAGTTACCATTAAAACTAGATAAACTGGGATTCCAACCCAGCAAGCAAGGGAGACAGGAGCTCCCGGACTGATACTTCAGTCAATAATAGATGAAACTTACTATTAAAACTAGATAAACTGGGATTCCAACCCAGGAAGAAAGGGATACTGATACTTCAGTCAATAATAGATGAAACTTACTATTAAAACTAGATAAACTGGGATTCCAACCCAGCAAGCAAAGAAGACAGGATCGAGCTCCCTGGACTGATATTTCAGTCTATGATAAATGAAACTTACTATTAAAACTAGATAAACTGGGATTCCAACCCAGGAAGCAAGGGAGACAGGAGCTCCCTGGACTGATAGTTCAGTCAATGATAGATGAAACTTACTATTAAAACTAGATAAACTGGGATTCCAACCCAGCAAGCAAGGGAGACAGGAGCTCCCGGACTGATACTTCAGTATATGGTAAATGAAACTTACTATTGAAACTAGATGAACTGGGATTCAAACCCAGCAAGTGAGGGAGACAGGAGCTCCCTGGTCTGATACTTCAGTCAATTTGAGATTAAACTTACTGTTAAAAAAAAGCATTTACTGGGATTCCAACGCAGGAAGCGAGATAAGTAATACCTGGAGTGATAGTATAGTCTATTATGCATGTAGTTGCAGCTATAATACCCTAATCCTAGAACTAAATGAAGTGCATTACATGTTTACCTTTAATTAATAATAGTAATCTACTGTTCGAGCAGCAGCAATTCTTTCAATAAATTTAATAGCAGCCGTAAGTAGAAAAAGAAGATTCCAAAAACAATGTTGGCCTATTGTTGCCAATATAGTGGCCTCAAGCCACGTGGAGGGTTTCGTGCGTTCCACAGGGTGCTTGTCTACTTACGCGTGGAGAGTGGTACTGAGCCATCAGTTACACCGAGGTCTGGGTGGTCGCCTCTGACCGGCAGGTGATGTATTGGGCGCCTGATAAGAAAACGGCCGTTGCACTCAAGTGCTTATCGACTCAATCTGCAGTGGTGCAGAGCTTTACGAGTGATACTGCACGGGCCGTAGCGGTGTACCGCTCATCGGGTCATGCCATATCTCAGGTTCTGTCACGAAACAAGTCTGTTGTAAGCGCTCATGCCCAGGTGTCCCGGTCTGGACGCAAGCGGAGGTCCCCCAATTTATATGGCAGTTGCACTCACGTGCGTCTCGGATACTGCACAGGCCATACACCCTTTTCTTTAGGTCATGCCATATCTCAGCTTCTGTAACGAAACAGGTTTTTTCAAGCCTTTAAATATCAGTTTTTTTTTAGGTATAATTTCAGATTTTCTTGGAAAGAGTTGTTGCTCTTAGAAGATTATCACTGATTTTCAGAGTAATATGAACTTAGGGCAACTAGGATTCCAGCCCATCAAGCAAGGGAGACAGGAGCTCCCGGACTGATACTTCAGTCAATAATAGATAAAACTTACTATTAAAACTAGATAAACTGGGATTCCAACCCAGCAAGCAAGGGAGACAGCAGCTCCCTAGACTGATACTTCAGTCAATAATAGATGAAACTTACTATTAAAACTAGATAAACTGGGATTCCAACCCAGCAAGCAAGGGAGACAGCAGCTCCCTGGACTGATACTTCAGTCAATAATAGATGAAACTTACTATTAAAACTAGATAAACTGGGATTCCAACCCAGCAAGCAAGGGAGACAGCAGCTCCCTGGACTGATACTTCAGTCAATAATAGATGAAACTTACTATTAAAACTAGATAAACTGGGATTTCAACCCAGCAAGGAAGGGAGGCAGGAGTTTCCTTGACTGATACTTCAGTCAATAATAGATAAAACTTACTATTTATCCGAGAGAAACTGGGATTCCAACCGAGCAAGCAAGGGAGATAGGAGCTCCCTGGACTGATACTTCAGTCTATGATAGATGAAACTTACTATTAAAACTAGATAAACTGGGATTCCAACCCAGCAAGCAAGGGAGATAGGAGCTCCCTGGACTGATAGTTCAGTCAATAATACATGAAACTTACAATTTATACTAGGTAAACTGGCATTCCAGCCCAGTAAGTACGGGAGACAGGAGCTCCCTGGACTGATAGTTCAGTCAATAATAGATGAAACTTACTATTAAAAGTAGATAAATTGGAATTCCAATGCATCAAGCAAGGGAGACAAGAGCTCCCTGGACTGATACTTCAGTCAATAATAGATGAAACTTACTATTAAAACTAGATAAACTGGGATTCCAACCCAGCAAGCAAGAGAGACGGGAGCTCCCTGGACTGTTACTTCAGGCAATAATAGAGGAAACTTACCATTAAAACTAGATAAACTGGGATTCCAACCCAGCAAGAAAGGGAGACAGCAGCTCCCTGGACTGATACTTCAGTCAATAACACATGAAACTTAGTATTAAAACTAGGTAAACTGGGATTTCAACCCAATAAG